TAGCATCACTAGTATCGCAATATAAGGGTCATAACCGCGACACCGCAGTTTATAATATAATAACATATTGCATATATTAATAATGCAATTAAATATAAATCTACCTAAAGCTTACATTAATCCTCGTATCAACCAGTCCGCGGTATATTTTCCCGCGTATATATAATAATTAGTATTATATCAACAAAATCTAATATTGAAAATGTTAATAACGTAGCTATATATTTACGCGGCTATGACGCGGGAGAATAGATTAAATTGTCAAAACTGCCTTCCTCAATCCCGATCGGGATCGCGCTTCAAAGTGTGTTGCGCTATTTCGAGAATACCAATCTCTTCATTAACATTTAACTCGTTCGGCCAGCCTCGGGTTCGGCTTGATCTCCGGAGGATACAGCAGCCACCTTAAATATCAACCCTGTTACAGCGCGCCTAGCCTCGCTCGATGTCGCTCGGGGGATGAATTATCAAAATTTCCGCAATAAACTCCGCAGTCGAGCATCCGATGACCTAAGCGGCAGCAACGTGGTACGCATAAGGAATTAGAGGAGATATACGTTGATCCAACCTACGCACGATTCTCGCTTACGCTCTCTCTCCTGTATCGGTACCATTTTATTAGTCTTCCCATTATGCGCCATGACGTTGCACGGCAAACGTCGTGTCCTGAATTATTGAGTTCGATTTACCGAGGGTTACTTGGACTAGATAAAGTTTTCATTACGGAGCTTCGAAAAATAGCTTTCAACGCTTAATTCAAGGCTTAATTGATCTGTTTACTCGTCGCGAGGGAAGAGACAATTTGCATTTTTGCAATTTCAACGATAGTGCATCGCACGACTATACGTTTATTGTCAGTACAAATATATATATATATATATATATATATATATATATATATATTTGTGGAAAAAGTTATTCGCGTACTTTTGTTAAACCGCTCGATACAACGCTCGGCAAAGTGGCTTGATCAAGGATGGAAATAGACGCGGAATGTTTACATTGCTGGGGAAATAAGACAAACGAAGTTACGGCCGCATTTGAAGTTTATCGATACTTTGTTGCTCGCGCATGCGGACGTTCCACGGAGATTGAATTATCGATACGCGTCGCCTGACACGTTGAATCGAGGGAGGTAGCGCCGCATTCTCCTTTCAATAAAGTCACTTTATCGGCCAGATAAATATTATTAGCCAATAAGCATACTCACGTCGATACTCGGTATTTCATCGTGTAAAGCGCTTTTGCGTATTATTCGCGATCTCTCCTGAAAAACAATAACTCTAAACGATATCTCTTGATCCGAATATTATAAATTCTTGTTTCATGCAATACGAAAAGTTCATCATTCCGATATAAAAAAAAAAGGAAAAAAACTTTGAAAGCGAATATCCTACTTTTCCTCGTGCAATCTCTCCGTTTCACTCCGCGCAAAGAGATTCCACGCTTTTATAATAGGATAATAAAAATGAAATGGAGAAATACAGTCTTTCTCATTATTCAAAAAATTTGGGGCACGTACGAGCCCGGCCGTGTTAAATTTCATCGGCGCGTTTACCCGGGCGAGAGAGGAAGAAAGTGCGGACGGAGTCGCATGAATAAAATACAGGAATGAAAAATAAAGCGAAGGCGAGTGACCCACATGACTGTCGCGCATACGTGTAAACGCGGCGCGCCGGCACTCACGCGAAAGGGAACGACTTATTCACTGAAAGCGCCTCGCCCAACGGCAATCCGGGAACGTGTGCACCACCCGTGTTGGAAAAGTTTTTTTCTTTTTTTTCAACTCTTCCCTTCCTCTCCCTCCGAATCTGTCTGCCTTCTCCATTCGCCGCCGCGCCTCGCTATCGTCGTCGTCCGATCCAGTCCGCGCTAAGAAAAGGGTGAGAAAATAGGTTTCGTGCCTCCCTCCAGAGTGCTATTCAGTACGGTAATTTATTTCAGTTTTACATGAATTTCCCTTTTGCCCTTTTCCCTCCTTCCCCCTTCTGGAGTACTGTTGCTTTTCACTCTTCTGCTGTTCTTTATCAAGAACTGCTCTAGAACGCTCGAGTTTCCTCTCTTTCTCGATTTCTCTTTGGCCCCTTTTCTCCGCGCGTGCTCTCTAATTTATCTTGTCAAGCTTTCATTTTATCCATTATGGATTTCTTTCAAGTCGCAAGTACTTGTTGCGCAGGTGCGATTGATATTATGAATTTCGCGTTTTGCTAGCTCTAAGGGCGTTCCATGAAAGGGGAGCGAACGCGAAGGGAAGATCTTTCAGAAGCGATAGAAATTTTCAGCGAAAAATCGTCCTTGCATCTAAAGAGCGTTACCTAACCGCCGAAGATTGAAGGAACGAATGAAAGCCAATAACGAATGAGAGCCAATGATCTTTTCTGGCTACTTTTAGCACGAGCGGCATAAATCCATCCAAATCGATATTCCGCCACCAGCCGGTACGGTAGACGCACAATAACTCTCGGCTTCGCAATATCGAACGTGCCCGCTCTTACGTGCTGCCACCCGGGGAGAATAATATTGAAATCACGGGGGTTGCACGTCGTCGTCATCGGGTCGTCGGTGGTCGTCGCCGTCGCAAGTAGGCCAGCAGCTCGAAATAGAAACCGTCAACTGGGGCAGTCAATGTCCAACGTAAGACACATTCGTCGTCGCACGTTCGCGGCTTTTTTACGGCAAATCCGACGTTTATATCCCTCGTCTCTCCTTCTCACCCTCTGATTTTTTTCTCGGGAGATTGGGCGAACCGTCGTCTGCCAAGTGCACGAAATATCGCCACAATATTGCCCCCCACGTGTCAAACATCGACGATCTGTATGTTCGTCGAAATGATTTTCCGTTGCATCGAGGAAATCTTCGTGACTATCGAGATTTATACGTAGTTTTTCGAGATTCTCGATTGTTTCGCATTATTATCGTAAAACCCTTCGCGAATCAACACGCCAATCGCAAAACGCAATCAACTTTGTTGCATTCTTATTGGAACTTTCAGTGATTAATATCATTTTCCTCGTGGAAATTGTATTTCCTCGACTTGGCCAATGAGTGGCAATTTTTCCAAATCATACTCATCCAATAAAGAATTTCGTCGTATCATGATCGCCGTATTCTTGTTATCGATCATTGCGAAAATAATAATGAGAACAAAGCATGAAATATAGTTCCGTCAAGTCACAAAAACCAATTGGATTCGCGTTGAGTGCTACCCGTCCGTGTTTAATGTCGTATCTAGGAGCACATACATGAACAGGGAATTTATCTGGCTGGATCTTTCGCGCGTTGTTGCAGGGATTAAATGTCTTGAAGCAAATGCATTAATACGAGCGATAACGCAGTGGATTTTAATGCAGGCGTTTACACGGGCCGTTTTAGCTCCGCAGGCTCGCTCAAATATACGTGCTTACCGGCAGTTTTAGCATCCGGCTTAACAGGACGTAATTTTCCGCAATGGTGGCGTAATGAGACGTGTATAAAACGACACTAACCCCATGCGCTCTCATCATATTTTCGTTCGTATATTTTCTTTATGATGAGGCGCGAGTATCGCTAAGCTCGTCCCGCTAAAAATAAATGACGATGCTCGGGTCCCTTCGAGGCCTAAATTTTAATTAAGGTTCAAATAAAGTATCTAAATTTATATTTACGACCAGCGATTGCTCTTGAGCCAGCGTTAATGCCATTAAAATTTATATCTTTTTAATATCGTTAACTAAGATTTATCTATGCATGAAAAATTCTTTGCAAAATTTTTAAGTAGAATAATTACGCTTTATTTCGTGTACACAATTTCTTAATGTATTTGAAACTTGTTACATGTATATATTTCATCCTAAGAAGTGCCGATGGTCACAAACACGTTTAAATCAAAATTAAACAAACAAATTCGTACATAACATTCACAAAATTCATAAAATATTATAATTTTCAATGAATATATTCGTCCTCACATCTTTTTAATGAACGTGTTGCATATTTAATTTTTTTTTTGAGATCAAAAGCACGGATTTTGCACTATCTCTCGTCGCACACAGCGACGTGGAGTACGTTTATTTGCAAAGCTATGAATAATTTTTCCTGCACATATCTGCACTCTCTTTCCTAGATATCCTTCAAAAGCACTGCAAATATATAAACTTGTTAATGTAATATCACGAAAAAAGTAATGATTCTTGAAATATTTACTCTAAAGGTTGAACTTCGACACTTCGTGTATCACGTACTGTCATTCTTCCGCATTTTCCTACGTGGCACCCAATTCCGCTGGTGACGTGCACGAATGTTTTAGCGCATGCATCCGGTATCAAGTGCATGTGAGTTTCTTCCAACTTACGACGTCATCCACACGTACGACCACATTGAACCATTGCTTTTTCATTAATAGACTTTTAGACGCTAAGACGTGGAGACGTCGTAGATCGCCTCCTTATTCTCGTCATGCCTTGCGCGTTCCTTGCTCGGAAAACAAGCGATCCCCGGACGTACGCGCGGATAACGCCCGTAGGTCGTTTTACTCTCGTCAGACACGCTGCATCCCTTGTCTCATCATTTATCATCTCATGATTTACGGCCGGTGCGAGTGGGTAACGAAGTTTGATCGCGTGTGTAGAAAGAAAGAGAGAAAGGGAGAGAGAGAGAGAGAGAGCGCTCTCTGAATAATGAACGTCCGGACTCGCCCCGTTAAGCGAGATTAAAGCTTAATTTCGGTCACCCTGCAAAAATAATGAAATTGCTGGGAAAAGCTTTCTCTGGAGCTATATAAATGAAGATTTTATAATACATATGTATAATTTATCCGTTATTTTTTTGATTGGAAATACGAATCTCGAAATATTTTTAAACAAACACAATTTGTTAATTTTTATAAGTTTCTTTTTTTTTATTAGAATTTGAAATTGTGGAAAATTCATCCTCGTCCAGATAAAGACGGACAAATGCTCGCACCGGTTTGTACGCGTTCATTACGATCCCTCGTTTATGTTGAGTGTTGGTGTTGGTGCAAGGGGCAGGAGACACCGATATACATATGGTACGAGTCGTATCCAACCCACAGTGGCGAAGGATACGAAGGTCGCGTCTCGAGGGTGAGCGAGAACTCGCCGTACGGCCAGGCTAGCCTCAATCTGACGAACATCCGCGAGAGCGATCAAGGATGGTACAAGTGCAAGGTCGTCTTCCTCAACAGGTCACCCAACAGTCACAAGAACGGTACCTGGTTTCATCTAGACGTCCACGGTAAGTAGTCCCAAGTTTTCATGCATCTTCCCCGTCAACTCGGAGACAATTGCAACTCGCGACGGTACATTTTTGAGATAGAGAATTAATGAAGCGAGATTTCACGCCTAATTTTTCTGATTAAACATCAAATTTAAATTCGCCTCGCTGCAAAATGTGCAAAGTAACTTTCAGGATATATGTTGTGGAACGTGTCGCGACAGAGAAAAAAAAAAGAATACTTTCTTTACTTCGCGTAAAGTTGTCTGTTAGTAATAAAAGTTATGTTCGCTATGCGCTAAACGCTCTTAGTCGAAGCTTTTATCCGGCTTATGTAAGATGAAATTACGTTATTTCTGCTTCGAATAGTCTCGTTAATATTACTTTGTAAATTTAAGAAGATTTTACGACTCCTGCTAATGCAGTTTTATAACACTTGTGGGAAAAGTTAATCGTGTAAGTTACAGTCGTGTTTGAATAATTCTAGGAATTGTGTATTTGTACTCATAATTCGCAATACTCTCATTCTCATACTTTTATTAAGGTTAACGTTACAAAAATTACGTTGAATTTTTCCGCGCGTTGTATGTATTATTAAATAAACTTTTGGAAACGTTGAAGATCTTTCCCAGCTACTTGCGCTCATTCAAGAATATTCGTACGCGCGTGTCAACACATTTCATAATGAGAATAGAGATCTCGTCAGAGAATGCTGTACGCCAGCAGACGGGAAAGAAACGCGTTCGCGCATTGCTGGAGACTCATGAAATTCCGGGATATCCTCCTTTCGCGCTTGGTTAAACATCGGCAAGTATAGTGTATGAAAATATTCGCCGTCGCGCGCGCTCCTTTTCATCCCGACCGTCTTCGAGCTTTCCGTCGACGTGACTTCCTATCAGGAAAAGGAAAGCACGCGAATCATAAAAGGCGCTTCAAAATGACGCCGCCGATTCTTCGATGCGGCTCTCTATGCGAATTGTACATTCAGCAAACATCCTGCTTGCAAGCATGTCTCGTCGTGTTTCTCATCCTCTAACGTCTTAGCGAATCTCGCGCGGGACGAAGTTAGATTTCTCGCTTGCTCAGCACGCAGTTCGAAGCTCCTTCCTCAAGGATTCTGTCGTCGTGCCCTTCATTGCTTCGGCAAAATCCCCCGAGAAATGCGTCCCGGCGAGTAAAATGGGAAGGAGGATCGCAAAAAGATCGTGTTACCGAATGGGGGAAATGAGACACAGGGATGGAAAAAGAGTAAGAGGAAAGATGGAAGAACGGGGGGGGAAAGAAACTTATTGCCGCGTTTTGCTCGGCTATAAACGACGACGAAGGGCCTGAGGGAAGAGAAAACATTTGGCTGGCTTACGGAGGATGTGTCGCGTTGTCCTCTTTCTCCCCCTTACACCTCATCCACCCTCTTTCCCGTCACTCCGCACCGCTTATTCCCAATTTCCCCGTCGTTCTCCATCGAGCCTCTCGGTCGTGCTCGCGACAACAACAACAACACAACAATGGAGTGACGACGCCGAGGATATACCCACAAACGGCGTCAAAGGGAAAAATACTCGGGACACCAGAAAGCGTTTAAGGTCCTTTTTATACTTTGTAGTCGGCTCCATTCGGTCGCTTGCTCGCACGTTAGGGTCATAAACCGCCGTCCTTTCGCGTCACTCTGTCTCTCTTTGCTCTTACTCTACTTCTTCCAGTATCTCACACCTAGAGTTGTAGCTCTCGTAGTGCTGTTCTCGAAATTAAAATTCCTCGTCTTCGAACGAACGTGAACAAACGGTGCATTGCAGCGGATGATGTCTCGAAAAACGGTAGAGCTTTTTTCCGAATGGCAACAATTCGTAAGAAACTCGCTGCGCGAAGCTTTCGTAGGAATATTTTAATTGCGCTCTTTCTGCTTTCCTTACCGCGATATAATCGGATTTCTTGCGCACCCGAATGTCGATTAAAATTTTTCCAACGGAATAATTCTGTCCCTTCCCCTCCCTTCGCCCCATTTCGCCTAAGCAGAGAAACGCGCGATTCGAAGGGAATATCGCTCGAAGAGCTGTTTTCTTAACTATTACGACGTAGAATTTGCATTAAATTCAATCGTTCGTTTTTCCTCCCTTTTCATTCCGTCCTCCATCGCTATTTTACCCTTTCATTTCGTCGATCTTGGGACGCTTCGCCATCCTAGGACAAGAGAACTCTTGTCGACTCTTTGCATCACTTGCTCGGTCGCGAATGCTGGACGGTGAAGAACCATTGTGATTTCTCTGGGATGGAAAGAGGATGGACGGTAAAAACACCGAACTTCTTGAAGAGCGTTTTCTAAACGTCCATCGTCTCTTTGCGGACTTGATTGTTCTTTTCGATTTACCCGCGGCCACTCTCGTCAAAGTGCCAAGACTGCGTTGCCTCTGTCTTTTCTTGCAAAAAATAAACGGCTTACATTTCTCGTAAAACTTTGAAAAGACGATGTTACGCAATTGTAAAAGTAATCTATTGTAAAAGTAATCTATTACGCGAGAGATGATTCCGTTTGCAAATACTCGAGTCTGATGAGAATTCGAAATAATGAGTCCCCGCATCCGTTATACTTGCTTTAGCAATAAAATCATGATTGTACGAATGCAACAAAAGATTACATCAAATCATATCTAATCGCATCATTCGCTTCTGTTGCTTACAGCGCCACCCAGATTCAGCATAACGCCGGATGATATGATATACGTGAATCTGGGCGATGCGATAATACTCAACTGCCAGGCTGAGGGTACTCCAACGCCAGAGATCCTTTGGTACAAGGATGCGAATCCCGTCGAGCCCAATGGTCGAGACGTCGGGATATTCAACGACGGCACCGAGCTCAGGCTCTCGACGATCAAGACCGAGGACATTGGCGATTACACCTGCATCGCCAGAAACGGGGAGGGCCAGATCAGCCATACCGCGCGCGTCATTATCGCGGGTGAGTGCAGTTTCAGCTTTTATCCAAGTGTCAAGGAAATCCTGGTTGTCGGACCCGCAATTTCGTCGCGAAGTTGAGCGATAAATTATCCGTTCACCTTTAGCGGAGCAAGAAGATACGATTACGTTCGACAGCAATCGAGACTTATCAAGAGAGAGAAAGAGAGAGAGAGAGAGAACAAGCGCGAGATAAAACTTTTTTAATTTAAATTTTACTGTCATTCAGAGATATTCACGAGCAAAAAGACATAGAAAGGTGAAGCATAATAGGAGAAGATGAATATCGCAAAATTATAAGAATTATCAAGCTTTTAAGCTTCTAAACATATAATGATGCAATAATATAGCAAATGAACTGTTATCCATGTATTATCGCTATATTTTCGTGGTATATATTTTTCTTCATTTTTAATTTCCTGAAAATATTCTGCTAGGAAAAAAAACATACATACAATGAGAAAGAGCATCGAGAAGTGCAAGCTCTTTTATTTAAGGAAATCTCTTAAAATTCCCGGCGTGATTTTATTAATGCGGGTCACGGAGTCCATTCTACGATTTCGCCGCGACCGCATAAATAATGACTCCCTTTTTTTCGTCGGTCCCGCGGTAATATCTCGCAGAAAACGTTAGCGTGCATGCGCCGTTAAGTATTTCTGTCTGATAGGAACGCGTTACCTCAGCACTGCGGCAGTGCGGTCGCTTAAATCCACTTGGTACGCGACGTGACACGCGTCTGCGACAAAAAGTGTCGTGGCACAGCTTCAGGGTTTCGTGCCGAACGATCAAACAATATCGCGATGTCGCGCGATGCTCGAAATAATTAAAAAAGAAGACACATTGTCATTGTCATCGTTCGGTGGCGTTTCATCTGCTCTCAGAGTTGATGGTGTCCGCGTCCTGGCATTGATCTCTCTATGAATATCTTAATCAATCACCTGCCTATCGCAGCCTATTGGTCGCAAATATATTGATTCAAAGATGTATATATATATATATATATATATATATATATATATATATAGCTATAAATAATTATTTTGTCTTGGTAATTAAATGCCTCTGTTCCATTAAGTTAGATACATAATTAAAATATAATTAAGGAATATTTCATAAAAGTTCCGTCCTTAGCCAGCGAAGGAGAAAAGCACAGAACTCGAGAGTGCCTCGAGTATAACGCTAGTAAACTAATTAAAGAAGAAGATACTTTGTACCGGAGGTAATAAGAAGGCGAGTCTTTTTTTAGCTTTTTTTAGCCGAATATAAATATGAAGTCGATTGATTAGTTTGCCGGCGACTAGACTGCGCTCGAAGTCTTTTCGAAACTAATTTAATATGAATCGCGCGATAGTAAACGCGCTTTAATACACTTCCGAAAATTGCCCGGACATGCCGGCGCGATTAATTATCCGTGATCGGCACCCGAAGAGAATAACGCAAAATACGGTTGCTGCCAGACCGATAATTAATAAACAGCAAACTGCGCGCGCCGTGGTAATTATCGAACGCGCCGTTATCAGAAACAGATATCCCTCGGTAATCAGCGTCGATCGCTCGAATACCGGTAATGCAATTCCAATAACCCGCATGCCCGAAAATATCTTAAAGCAGGCGCGGTTACTTCCGCACGTTTTGTTATTTATCGATCGCCACGAGTAAACCATCTCCTCTCTTTCTCTCTCTTTCTCTTCGTCCTTATCCCACTCTTTTACTCGCTGCGCAATCGGAAACGAATTCTCACGGACAGGTAACCCCGATCCACCGCGCCCTTACGATACACACGATAGATCTGGCATATTATACACACGCGAATTTCAAACGGAATAAAAAACGATCCTTTTACAAGCAATTTCGCAAAAAGCTCTTCTGGGAGAAGGAACTCCGTCGAGGGTTGAAATATTATTGCTGATGCTGTAAGCGCTTAGTGCCATTCCTAATTTTTTAAAATATCGTTGAACCGTCGTAGTTGAACGATGTAATCCCCGCAATTTATTCTAAATAATATGTTTGGATTTGCATTGTTCGCGAATGTCAAATAGCTGAAATAATCTTCGCGAATGTCAAGTAGCTGAAATAATCTTCGTCTTCGATAAGCTTATACGCGTGAGGAATTAATTAAAGATTTACGTATACATTTACGATTTAATTATCCTCGATTGCTCATTGTCTATTTCATTTCTTCATCGTGCAGCGTGATGTAATTTAATCGAAAAGAATGCATGATAATCTCGTTATACTCGATTATTAAGTACTTATCCGTAATAATCTCGCGAATCACGAGATCTTCCCCAGAGATCTTCCCCAGAGATCTAATCCAATATTTTACACTGTACGACTCAAGATATAAAAATAAAACATTCGCCACGATATTTCTGCTTCGTACGGTAGAGAAACTAAAAATGATGGAGCGTTCGATTTTTGTAACTCTTTCGATAATCTTTATTTCCCAAATGGATGCGGTAGCGGCAGGTGTGTACCGTTCTAAGTCATCTCTTTGCGAGCGAACTCGGGAAAAGATAAGGGATGTCGCAATCTCGTCCGCGTCGTATAAACCGTTTTAGCGTCCATTTCCCTCGAACGGAAACGTTTTCCCGTGATCGAAGGCGCACCATGCCGATGCATCCATAAAGTTGGCTACAGGGACGGTGCGACATTGTGGAGAACGTATAGCGGCACCTCCCTTCGCCTCCGTAAGTTTTACGAGCCGATACATTTACTCATATCGGTACCTTTGCCGCGATAAAACTCGCGTTAGACAAAATGGTTACAGCGCGATTTCGGCCGCCGCTCGTTCCGCCGACCAATTAAGGCTATTTCCGTTTCCCAGGATTCCGGGGGGTAGGGGAGTAGGGGAGAGAGGGGGAGAGGAGAGGTTAAAAGGCGATTTGTCTTGTTTTTCCGGAGCCAACAGCCACTTTCCGTCCCCGAACCATCTTCTTGTTCTATTTCGCTTTTGCGCTTTCCACCCCCATCCTCCCTTTTTTCTAACTTCGCCGCTCGTTTCTACCCCACAACCACTGCAAATTTGTAATCCGCGCCAATGGCAAACCCGCCGCCGGGACATCCGTCTTCATCATCGTATTGTCTTACCGTCTCGTCCCTTGTTTTCACGCCCGTTTACGAGCTTGGTCGCGAGATGGTTATTTAATGGATTGAGAAATGGTGCAAATGTCGCCTGCCTGAGATGACGGCGAGGTCGTAAAATTCGTTCGCACGCAAGGAATAAAATTAGGGAAACTTAACGGGAATTATTATTGTTATTACCGCCAAAGATAAGCAATCGGAGGACACCCTATTGAAATTTTACACTTTTCATATTTATTTTATTTTTCATTTCTTTCGTGTTTTCGTTGAAATGGAAAATAAAGTGAAACGTTACATTTATATATAAATAGAGAAACATAATAATTACATGAAATTTTTATACGCAGATGTGCATAAACCGAAAAGAATCACGCGCGTTTATCTCTTGCATTTTAAAAAGCAGGGAGATACGGTTATTTCATACGGCACGATATAACGTTTCGTTTCAACGTTAAACGAAGTAGAACATTTAAGTAGAAGATGAAAAATTGCTAGAAAGTAAACATTATAGGAATAAATCATTCCAAAATTTCTGCATCTCGACTGTACTGCTCCATTTGCTGAACTACCCTTCACGGTTCTCGTAGCACCACGTATTCACAATGTGCAACGTGATGCAGCGCGACGCAGCATCACGTCATAGCTATGTACTTGGCATAAGAGCCCATGCGCCTCTCTCTCTCTCTTTCTCTGAATTTCATTGCCCTGGTTTATCAAGATTTTCGTCTGGTTGGCAAATGCTGAAATTTGTCACCGTGACACTCTTCGCATCGAGAATGCGCCGCGGCAATAAATGCAACACGGTCGATGATGTAGCAGACGGCGGTAACTTAATAATCACTTTACAAAAGTATTTTCGGTGTCCCGCGATCTTCTCGAAGCTCCAGAAAATATTCATTTCTAGGAGTAAAAGCGCGAACGGAGTTCAACAAGGAGCGTACGTCTCGGAAAGCCCTCGCGTAAATATCGACCGCCGTACACATCGGTGGAAATTGCTGCTCCAACTTGGTAAAAACAACGTCGTTAACGATCGCGCGTAATGTGCACCGTCCGCGGAACTTTATGGCGACCGCACGCTCGACGAATGATCCTACGGGCGACTCGGAATTCCATTGGCCTCATTCGCCGCGAAAAACTTTGCAAACTTCCCCCTTCGTAAAATTATCCCTCCAAGTTTTCGCGTTCGCGACAAATGTAAAATGTATTGTCGTCGGGGTCGCGAATAATTAAAATAAAATGCATCCTCTTGCTCGCGCGAAAATGAGACACGAGCATCGCTCGCGAGCCTCTGTAAATGGGAATAATAAAAGACTAGGGATTCTTAAGGTATATACCCGGGATAAGTTGGAATGAAGCGGCGCGTAAATGTAAAGAGATCGACGTGATGGATCGACATGATGGATGGTTTGATTGAGTAAATCCTTGCGCGCGCGTGCTCGGATTTAGATGCAGCGAGCATGCAAGATTACGCGAGGAAATACGTATTCTTCTCTCTCTTTTCTTTTCTCCGGGCAACAAGTTCTCATTCCGCCCTTCGTACGTTTATCAAGCTCGTAGATTCAAATTTATTCCTGTCGCGCTGGCTGCAGCGTGCACCGCCGACGCGCGTATTGTGCCAGCCGCATCTTCGGAGGTGCGACTGGGGTGTGCAATATATTGAGACATCGGGCAGAGCTTAGAATATCGTTGCCCTCGTTTCACGGGATTTCCCGTCTGCGGAACGAAACTGCGATATTTCTTACGCGGCTCGAAGCCCTCCTCTCTCTCTCTCTTGGCCTTTCTTGGACGGTACAGTTTGCTACCGCAACGCGAGAGATCGAAACTTTACGTGCGGGCACTCGTAACCGAGTGCCAGCAAAAAGCTATTCCGCAACCTCGAATTTGATTACGTCGATACGCAAGGATAACAAACACCGCAACAATCTGCCAAATGTTTAATTGCTCAAACGTTTGTCGATACATTTGTACCATCGTGACATCCGTTCGTTTGCACGTATAAATTTGCAGATTGTTTGCGATATCTATATTTTGTTTACTTTAGCAACTAGCAGTGATATTTGATGTTTTGCACGAATTTTTCATAAATCGCGTATTCATGAAATTAAAACTCAAGAGTAAAGATGCAAGTGACATAGATAGCAAGTGAACTATGACGTTCATTAAAATTCATAATTACAAAATTTGAAGTATAAATATAAAATTTCAAATAAACGTCTTTTTGTATACAATAAATATGAATCTCTTATATGATGCAATAAAAATAAGAATATGTCATTATATGTGACGATTTTATCGCCACAGCGTCTTTTCAAAATCCAATCAATATCTTTCGTAATCCCGATGAATGACGATAGATCGGATTGCGAAAATGCCGCAAAATCGCGCAAAATGGGGGAAGGAGGGACGTTGGATCTTTTGTGCGGCGAGAATCGATCTTGATATAATACGGCGAGATATTCGTTTCTCAGGCGACGGGCAAAGCCGCAAGTTTTGAAATTCTTCACAATGTGAATACGCGAGAGACGGCTATGGGCGTGGACGACATTGGATATCGATGAAGATATAATGTACCCTGTTGAGCACCTTTGTCGAAGGCGTAGAAATCGTGGCGAAAGGCAAATTCGAGGATACTCATACTCAGACGGCATACTTTCGTCTATCCGCCGTGGCTTTTTATTGACAAGCAAGAGAGACGTTATCGAGAATCGATGGAGACGCTATAGCATTCAATTTCTCTCCCTGCCTTTCTATGTGACGACGGGTTAGCATGCACCACATGCTGTCGTCTCTTCCAGGATATCTTTGACAGCGAGACAACCAATATCAGCGGTCAATCGTCACCGCAGATTCTGGATGCAATAGACAGACTACTACGTGAGTATCGGTCGTGTTAGGTCTCGGGACCACACGATCGATATCTCGCATCTCTTCGATCGATGATAAAATTACGTAATAAAAATTGCATTTTATTATTGATTATCGCAGGTGGGGCTGTTATTACGTTGCCGCCGACAAATCAAACGAAACTCGAAGGCGAAAAAGTGCAGTTCTCTTGCGAGGCGAAGGCTCTCCCAGGTAACGTAACGGTGCGCTGGTTTCGCGAAGGTGCCCCCGTCACGGAAGTTTCGGCCCTGGACACTCGAGTGTCCATCAAGATGGACGGCAGTCTGGTTATCAACCCTGTTAGTGCCGATGACTCCGGTCAATATTTATGTGAGGTCACTAACGGCATTGGCGATCCTCAAACTGCTAGCGCCTACTTGAACGTCGAGTGTAAGATTTATTTGGAAAATTATAATAGAAAATCAGGCAGAGAATTAAAATGTCAAAATGCAAAAAATTAAAAAGTATCAAAGAATTCAAGTGACAAGCTTAACACGATCGAGATATCTGAAAGTAATTTTCACATAGATTTCGCATATTTCAGACCCGGCAAAGGTGACATTCACCCCCACTGTTCAATACCTGCCGTTCCGTATGGCCGGTGTGGTCCAGTGTTACATAAAAGCTAACCCGCCCCTGCAATACGTGACCTGGACCAAGGACAAGCGCCTACTTGAGCCTTATCAGACGAAGGACATTGTTATCATGAACAACGGCTCCCTGCTCTTTACACGGGTCAATGAGAATCATCAAGGTAGATACACCTGCACGCCTTACAACGCCCATGGCACGCAGGGCAGTTCGGGTCCGATGGAAGTCCTCGTGCGGAACCCGCCAGTCTTCACCCTTGAGCCGGAATCGGTGTACACGAAAAAAGTCGGCGAGACGGTCGAGATGCATTGCGACGCTCAAGAGGCCGAGGGAACGCAGAAACCAACAATACAGTGGCATCGGGTACAAATTTTAAAAAGATATATTTTAAATATCGCTAGCAAAACTTTTGCTATATCTATCATATATTATCTACAATAGAAAAAAATAATCACTATTTATAGAGCATATAATAACTGCACATTTATTATTTATATATTTTTTTGAAAATATATATTTACTCTTTTAAAGTAACGCTAAAAGCCTACAGATATCATAATATATAATTTTTCAAAGAATTTTTGAACTTTTATATTGTTTGAGTAATAAACTTGTACGCGTGGATTGTATTTTCGATAAGCTATCTCGTCGCATTTTGTAAGAGCCTCTAAAATTATGTTAGAGGGACGGTGGACCCATCCAACGCGCCCGCACGAAGACCGTTGGCGGCAATCTAACCATAGAGAGCCTTCGACGCGCGGACTTTGGGTTTTATCAGTGCATCGCCTCCAACGAAGTCGCCACTATCTCGTCCTCGACGCAACTGATAGTCGAAGGCACGCAACCCCATGCACCTTACAACGTGTCAGGCACTGCCACGCAATTTTCGGTAACGCTAACTTGGTTACCAGGCTATTCCGGTGGTCCTGATTACAAGCAAGATTATACAATCTGGTAGGTAGACAGAGATAAGCTGACGGGCATTACGACTCAAAGCTTCTCTTGTATCGCAGTAATCGTTTTATTCGAATAATAGACATTCGTATCGTAAAATCAATTTTATTTATACACTATCAATATTAATATACTTATTATTCATGATTAGACTGATATAATTATTTGTGACAAGAATTTAGAATTTTTAGAATCTATTCAGATATGATATACTTTGTTTCTCTTGCATTAACCGCTCAGGTACAGAGAATCAGGAACTTCGGAATGGAAGACAATCCCCGTGACTCCATCGGGCAGCACGACGGTGACGATCAACACTCTCATGCCAAGCACGCTCTACGAGTTCCAGGTAATCGGGAAGAACGCTCTGGGCGAGGGAATGCTGAGCAAAGTCATCACAATCAGGACGCTCGGTAATGGAAACTGCATTATGCTGAGTTATTTCGACTCTATTACGGTTCTTGATAAATTTCATAATCAGAGATGCGAGCTTAGAGAAAAGCCTGAGAAAAATTCGATTGTTTAATGTTAAACACATCGCAGATTTATTTCAATTGAGTAACTATACTAATCATGTTAAAATTATTTCTTATGGATTTAATGAATACTAATCATAGCCGATAAATAACCTTACTGACTTATTTAATTAACAAATTAACATTTTATCTCTACGATTTTCTTTCTCACTGCTCACATCTTTCGCTGCATTCTTCTCCAAGGCGTTGCTCTGACCCACTCGGCCACCTCCGCGCCCGATCAACCCGTCTCACCGGAAAGTGGTAAGATTCGAGTGATAAATTAGTATCATTTATACTCTAAATGCGTAACATTAGAACAAGACAAATTATAAAATACGAAAATACTGAAATTCGCGAGAGAAAATGTTTTCAAACGCGACGCGTTACATATATAAAATTGTAAATTTGAATAGGTAAAATACCGGAGGCAACGCACGGTACAGTCTGTTTGAGGTGTTAAAATCGACACTTTCCACTGTTGTTTTAAATCTGCAAGCTGGCGAAACGCGATCAGCTGGCGGAATAGATATCTCGGAATATCTTGCGAGTCGCGCGACTTCGCAAGCTGAGAATGGCATCTCGATGACTGTCGAGGGGAAATTCATGCGTGTGAATGTCGTTCCCGTTTCACCTCGCGGTCTTCTCGTCGGGGATATAGATCCGAGAGTCGAAAAGTCGCGCGACTTTTTTCCTCGACTAGAACCGTAGGGATAAAAAAAAATGAGGGAGAAGAAAGGAACAAGCATGAAGGAAAAAGGATGAGGGGGAGGCAAAAAGATAAGATAAGGGGAGGGAAGGAGGGGACGAGTACGGATGCGGAATGAGGCAAGGTGAGCGGAGAAAACCGAGAAAAAGAGACGAAGAAGGAACGGAGAGACTTCCGCGGCGACTTATCGTATCGGAAAACCCATCGAGCCGTTCATTCTGCTTCCGCTTTTATTTCCTTCCCTCGAATCCACCGGTTCATTGCCTTCCATTTGTACACACCGTACCTCGAGCATCCCTGATACCGGCGTCTAGGGATTTCTATCTGGTTACCTTTCAAGCGTTTCTTTCGCCTATCTCGCTTTCTTTCTCGCGTTATACCTTTTTCTTGCTGTAGCGCTTCTTCGCTTCTTACGCTTCCATCCACGCACAAGCCCGCATCATCATCGGTTTCGCTCCTCAGTCTTGCGTCGACAAAGGACTAGCTTGCTGAACGTATCACGGTTAACTAAATTTTCTCTTCCTATATTTCTACTATTTCCAACAACAAAAGATTCGTGTTTTATAGTGAAATATTTTTTTCGAATCAAGTTTTTTTTAACGATATTGTTTAAAAACCGGTGAATATCTTATCACAATATTTTTATTTAATTCTAGAACTAAAATTTTACTCAAATCCAAAATTAATAGAATATAGTGTTGAATAAGAAGCTCATTTTATGAAAATTCGATAATATATTTTAACATATTCATGAAATTAAAAAATTAAATTAAATATGCTATAAATTCGAGAAATTTAGACTATAATTAGAACTAATTGACATTGATAAAATTGATCTTATCATGATTAATAAAATATGTAACAATAAATTGACCTAGATTCCATTTAAAATTTTCGTAATAAAAACTACAACTTTTTACTATCTTAAGATAACCTTTCGATACATGGAAAATACCTAATTTGATTTTTCTAGTTGATTTAATTTTGTTTCTTATTGATTTTCGTTTAATTTTTAAGTTTTTTTTCATTTCAGATATCCTTGATTATAATACACTCGTATTACCGACTGATTCCACGGGAAATCCCATGCTTCCGATAATCATTCGCCCAAAAGGTACATATTTTCATCTTTTCATAAAATAAATGTTAAAGGAAAAAAATGTTCGTAGGCAGATAAAAATGATCTCTTAACATTGATTCTTACATTGATAATAATGTTACGAAACAATTATCATATTTTTTGATCGAGATACTCGAGAATGTTCATCGTTACTTTCACCGCCCACGTTCGATAATTTATTTATACTCGGCATGCGAATGATATGCAATTGCCTTTTTCGCACATTTAATTAAAAATCCTCCGCGCTGCAAAGAGATGGCGAGAGTTTAAAAATCCACCTTAAAAAAGTAGAAGCTCTTTCGTTACGCGCGAGAAGATTAACCGTCATTATCTGCTATGGTGGACGTGAAAATAAGTGTCAAACGGTCTGAAAGGGCAATAAGAAAAAAACGGATATACTCGCGCGCACCCACGCTCGCGTACAGTTTGAGTGTACAACGATGCGAGAAAGATACAGAGGAAAATAAAAATGAAATCCTCTTAGCTGCACCACACCGAGAGAGCTACGACGAGAGGAGGAAATTCCAGGAGGGAGAGCAGGAAATAACATCATACATTTTGCACGTAGCAGACGGTTCCAAACAATCTACTCCGCTTTAGAGTTGAATAAACCCAAGAAAGTTCTAGTTGTACTTCTCTCGTGCGTCGAGTTTCAATCATATTTGAATTGTTGAGAAAAGTGGAGTATAGTGACATAAATCAGAAAGAAAAAAAAAATAAAATTCTCTTGTACAATAGCATTTATTTATATTTTATTTGTATATATATAATAATACCTCTCTCGACTGATTTAAAGCTTTATATATTATAATTTGAACTTTTTACAATAGAATTTTAACATCGCTTTATATTTAATATTACACAACATTGTGTGTATTGAAATTTTTAACGAAATTTTTATAAATAAAATCCCTGAAAATGTGCACACGCATTCCTCCGCAAAAATAGCGCGGATGTTATTTTTCCACAAAAATAATAAAATATAAAAAGCTCGTTATAGCTCGATCGAAGCAAAAGAGAAAGCGCTCGTAATGGGCAGTTTATAGAAGAATGGGGGGAGAGAGAATAAAAAATTGTATTTTATAAAACAAATATTCGAAACAATACAAGAGCCGCTAATTTTGCAATCTCGCGACTAAACCAACGAGCCGCCTACATTTTCTGGCTATCTCCAATTTTCTCATATTGTCTATGTGGTTACATGGCGAAAAACCGTTACGAAAAAAATCGATTTAACTTTCTAAACGCTCTGCGACAGTGCCTTTACTTCGCAATACCTACACAATAACGATGGATTTTTCGACGAGAACAACTTTGTCTCGACTTCGTCACTTTCGTCACATACATCAATGCGTTCGCAAATCGATTCACTATACTATGTCCCACGAGAATTTCGAGCGTTTCCCTTTGATCTCGAAAGCATGGTTCAATCTTGCCAGCTTCATGGTATGTTGATCAATTTGAATGACGCTAAGAATTGCTTCGTTCAAATTGCCGATGTAGAATACGCGGACACACGGACTTTGATAAACCCGCCGGTGTTTTAAACGTACGTAAAACCGTTCTCGATACGCGGCTATTCCATCTGATTGTAACCAAGGAAATTTACCGGTCCGTGTGGTTTGCGTAATCAACAAAGCAAACAATCGTGAAACAGTTTTTACGCTTTCCGACCGCGATTCGCAACAACAACGAGGCAATCTCCGTCAATTTTGTAAATTCCACCGAGATATTTTCCAGAACTGAGGCCATTAAATCGATAAGGGGAAACGAGAGAATAGAGTAGGATATTTGCTTTGTCGAAATAAATCCATGATTGGATGAGTCAGAACATCACGGTCCATTAGAGAAAAAATAAAAAAAACAGCGAGAGTTAATTAAAATATTCGCACTTCTTCATGCGAATTAATCTTCATGCGCCATGCCAATTATCTCCTTGCTCTATTTCCACATATTTTTTTACGAATAAGTTGTTTTAAAATGTATAATGCGAAATCGTACTACCTAGAAGAAATAGTGCCGCTCGTAGACATTAATAAGGTTAACGCGCGTACGCCGGAAGCAATTAGGTCGTAACATTATATGAGTAAGAAGTGATGAAAGAAGCTGACCTCATGTCTGGCTAATCCAATTAAGAAGTTGCACCAGTCGTTTCATTCCGGTCTACTGGCTTTGCATTCACTGACATCAAATATGTATATAATATTAGTTTATTAAATTTATTTTTTTGTTTTATGTATATTATATTATACAAACACATTTTATTATAAATATAATTATAGCTTATCCATTTCAAGAAATCTCGAAGCAAGCTTATCGATTTTAATTCATCGAGATCCATCGTATTATATAAATATTTAATATTAAATATTTAATATTAAATATTTTAAATATTATATATTAAATATTTTCTATTAAAAGAGAATGGAAAATATTTAATATAATTATTGCCTGAGAGAGTGAACATAGTTGTGATTCATCGTATTTGCAAGTATCAGCCAATACAAGAAAAATTTTTTTAAGCGATGTATCGCAACTGACCCAGATGCGAGATGATGAAAAAAGTCAGACGTACAACTCGATAGTGCGAATACCGATGGATTTGATAGATGCGAAAATGTCGCTGCGGTCGAAACGGCGTTAACGTTTCCATCAAAAAAGCTTTTCGCTGGCGTTGCAATCCGGTGCGTCATTGAAATTATTTCGGAGTTACGACAGCAACATTTATCTACCCGACATCAAAGAGATTTTTCCTCCGCATCGTCTTTTTTATTTCGCGTTCACGACAGAAATTAAATTTTTTTTAATCTTTACCCGATTTATTATTAAAAAATTATATGCCAATCGCGTGATGTAATATAAAATGGATATTAAAAACTGGATGTAAAAACACATGGTTATATTACAAGTAAAAAAGGAAAATTAGATTAACATATACTATATATTATGTTGTTTCCGATCGATAACGCCAGGACCAAAGCCAGGTACTCCCCGGAACCTTACGGTGACGGAAATCAGCAACGGTTTCCTGATAACCTGGCAACCTCCTATGGAACGTAGCCATCTTATCCAATATTACACTATCAAGTACAAGACGGACGGACCTTGGAAAACGCTCAACAAGGGCCAAATACGACCCGAGGAGACCAGTTATTTAGGTAAAATATTACTGTCCATTTATCTACCTCCTCCTCTTTTTCTCTCATTGATCGCAGAGCAATTATTTTGCATAAGTTTTCTTACTAGCATCGGACGGACGTCAACATCACGAATACGAGTAATTCCGAACATTCATAAACCAACATTTTAATTGTCGATTTTCGAGAATACGGCTTTCATGTAATTTTCCCATTTAACGTGAACGTCCACAGTGAAGAACCTGGTCGGTGGTAGGACCTACTATTTCCAAGTGTTCGCCAATTCGGCTACAAATTTCGGCGTGAGCGAACAGGTGAAGTTTCCCGTGCCGGCTCGCGTCAAGCACAAAGCGATCACCGCGGGCGTCGTAGGCGGTATCCTCTTCTTCCTCGTCGCTATCATCCTCAGCATATGCGCGGTCAAGATATGCAATAAACGGAAGAGACGAAAACAGGAGAAAGGTATGAACGCCCCGTGGCGTTTTCGTCGTATCGACACCAATTTTGCCAGCAATTCGCCTGCACCTGTGCTCCTGATTGTGTCGTCTCTCCACTATCGCACGAAAGATAACGCAAGATCTAACAAAATTAATTAAATTAACGATAGAAATATCATTGAAGCAGTTCTACCTGAGTAACTCGCATACTGCATGTTCAAACACATAAATTATTTTGTGCGAATCATACATTATTTCTTGATTTTTGATCTGCTCTGGGCCCGCTTATTTTCTGGGTCTTAAAAATGCTCGCATTATAATTGCGAACGTATCGTTTGCGCCCAAAATTGATCAAAGAGACGGCTACGATCCGGCAACGCAGGCGCCGGGCATGCACCTGTGAAACTGAACAATTCATATTTAACATAATTATGTAACATTGTAGAACTGCTTTCAGCGTATAATATGGTGGCCTGCCGGGTCACCGATGCCAGGAACGGCGCAGGGCAGGGGCCCCAGGGAACAGTGCCTTTGAAAAAGTGAGTGTCTATCATCCGAAACACCATTATCCTCCTAGATTCCACAGAATCTTGACTCACGATTCTTTGGAGCTCTAAGTGCTCCGATCGAACGACAAGTAGACCGAGGAGATCGCAGCTGCACTAAAAATTTGCCTCAATAATCGCATAGGATTTGCAAAAATATGCAAGATTAAAAAAAATTATTATTTAAGCATTTTTTTTAGCTATAACATTTTTTTAACAAATTAATTTTCGTTATAACAAAGTCATTCACGTAAAACTTTATATATAATCAGACATATAATGTATATATGTGACATATAATTTTCCGAGAAGCATTCGATGAGTAATGCTTTTGACAAAATAGTGTCATAGTGTCACCTTATTAAAGCATCGACGGTCTTCGTCGACGAGGAGATATAGCAGATCATTCAAGGGGTTAAAGATCTCGTAGCAAAATGTGTGTATTATACAAAGTGCAGGTGCGATTTCAAAGAAACATATATCACTTAGGTTTAGACAGAGCTAGCGTTTAAGACCACTCCACCCCCTCTTACGAGCAATAGGCGACCGAAGCACAGCAAGCATTTATGAAACCTCTCACGAGTAAAATCTCTTCTAGCCAACAGATACTCGAACATTTACGCGATATATACATTTATATATTTATAATTGTGTCTCGGATATATCGAAATTTACATTTACATTACTTCGTATCGTCTCTTATGTCGACAACTACAATTTTAACGGTAACTTTTCCTTCAAAATCGTCAATTCGATTATTTCTAAAATTGATGATAATTATTCGATGGTTTGACAAATCAATTGGAAGTAACGACGATGCGTGTCGTATATCAGTGACACATTTACAAAGATGTATGATCGTGAAACTTATGGAGAGACAGACGTACGGAGAGAAATCCATTCTCTCTCCTGCCGTCAACTCGATCCGCTTTGACAAAGGACAAGTACTATCGTCTGAAATAGGAGGATTAAGGAAACGAGAAACGACAGACCTCTTTTGATCTACTTGCGCCATACATATATAACACTATAAGCTTCTAGATGTATATCTCGTAGCAAATTAAACCGGCAGACTAAACCGCAGCAGCAGAGGTATTTTGGACGAGGTTGGAAGAGAAATGATCTTTCGATAAGTAATTTACGCACACTCCCACGCGTAACGCCCACGCGTGCGCGTGCGTGCATGCGTGCACGTTTCCGTTAGGCATGAACGAAAGAATCGAGCTCGTTCCGTGCGATTCGGATCGAGTCAGATCTCGCGTTGTGGTCTTCAATCAGATGACGCGCGACGATTCGTTTGCGCGCGTGACACTCAATTCGTTTTCCGCATCGAAATTCGTTTTTCGAACGATGCGTTTTTTGAGCGCGTTGCACGATACGCAATGTAACGAGGGAAAAAAACATAGCGCATATGCACGAAACGGTAACTATTTCCCACAATTACGAATAAAATGCGAATCGAACAGCGGTTTCTATTCCAGATTCATTCTCAATTAACAAAAATTAAAAAGATACCTGTAATGTGTGAAAAATATATTTGATTAAATTTTTATATAAAAAGTAGGAGAGATATCTCGGATTTTTTAACGCAATCGAAAAACCATGATTTGATTCTACGTGAAATACGAGCGACTCGATTCGAATCGCTCGATCTGTTATATCATATTTACACATCAAGAAAGTTTATGAAATGCAAGGTACGCGGGTGCGTTACAACGTACTTTTTTTCCGACATATGAAATGAAGAAAAGAAAAACGAGCCACACGCTCGTTTTTGCGATTTCACGCCCAAACGGACTGCACGTGTAGTAGCGGATAAACTGCTCACTTGTGACTCATTATGATTTTCATCGCGGCATCCAAAAGTCCACAATACGACTGCAGTGATGCCTCTTCTGGATCGTAAGACCTTTAATTTTTCGGGACTTTTGGTATCGTTATTTACCTCTTTACTTACACGCGTCTTTTTGCCTTTTTGGCTGATCCTGAATCCGCGTCAACTTTTTAGAAACGATTCATTCGACCCAATCATTTTCATCGCCATCGTTTTATCAAATCGCACCGTTCAGTTTTCTCTCGAGTAGTACTGTAACTGTTGTATGTGTGTGTACCGAATTACACTACTTCCTATGTGTACCTATATCGTGGCGCTTATCGTGAGGGTGCTAGGCAAAAATTCCATCGGCTAATCCACACACGATCCTTTTTTCGATCCGTAAATCATCCTTACACGCACAGGCAACGTATCTTACATTCATACTTTAGAAAAATGAAGAAAATCGCGAGCTTCGCATCTACTCGAGTTCTATGAAAGCTGCGTCTGATCGTATTTAATATCTAATTCAGATTTTCTCGTAGGTTCGAAGCTGATTGCGAAGCCATTCCAAAATGAACCGCACATATGTAATTATAAGCCAAACAACACTAATTATATGCAACAATGGCGCTCTGTTCTTAACTACTGCCATACCATATCGTCTAATTTGCGATCGAGCATGCGCTTTTGTAATTAATACGTACGGATATTAATCGTTGTCTTCTTTTTCTTTTCTTTTTTTATTGCGATCAGCAATTATATACCTACTAACCTACATTATTTTATTATAAATATACATTTTAATGTGTGTCTATGGGAACATTATACAGTAATTTCTTAATATTGCCTTGCGTGTAACAGTTTTATCATCTCCAACAAACAATTTCCTTCGAAATGTCAAAATTTCACATCGCAATCATCATCCTCCGTCATCATCACCCTCATGATAAGCTGAAACATTGGTCGCATTTTTTTTTCTCGTTAAACGCGCGGGCGCGTTTCTCGAAACTTATCCCGAGAGAGAGATCGATATTGCACGTTTATACCTACACGTATATATCCAGAACGGGCTGGACGGTTCAGCCACTGCCAAGAATTTTTTTTTCTCTGCAAGGCCCGCATTCGTGGTCCGGACTGTGCGCCGAATAGAAAAGCAACGATTGCAATTTCCTAATGTTTCGACAGCGGGCACGAAACATTACGCTAACTACTTCGATATAATAAGGTTTAACTGCGAAAAATTTACAAAGAGACTTTGCTTAGAGTAAATTAGAGATTACGAGTAACGTAATTTTCTCTATGTGTCGGTTCTGCGTTGTTTTTTTTTGCAATTGATGATTGCACTCGCGTGCTTATCTCAGCGGAGCTTATTGACCAAGTCGAAATATCGACCACGAATACGGACTTGAAATAATTTCGGTGGTAAACACCGAGATCACGATCAGAGCAAGGATCAGAAGAGAGCCGACGCAAGTTAGAGAATAGCAGCAAGGGTCGGGAGACTTTGGAGAGGAAGGACGCGGGATGCCACTTCGCGAACGTTATCGATCAAAAGGCAGGAGAGAATGGAATTGAAAGGAAAAGGTACGACCCGGGATAGTGGAGTCAATCGTCGAGTCGATCGTCGCATCGTCAAAGGAGAAATTTTCCCCGCTACCTTTCTCTCTATTTCTCTTTGCTTTTTTTTCATTTTGTGTCTCCGACCCTAAAATAATTCTCGCGCGAAACGGTAACCGCGGAGACACTGACGGGACAATGTCGAGGCAGTCATTGCGACAAAAAGGAAAAAGAAAAAAGAAAAGCAAAGACGATAAGAAAAATCGTGGGCGTCTCTTGTCCTCCTCTCTCTCTGTGTTTTCTGTAGGTCGACAAATCTAAACGCGTGCGGCGAGTCAGTCTCGACGCTGACCCGTTGCAGCCCGTTGAATCCGCAACTACCACCACCACCACCACAACCTCTTCATCAATCACCACTTCCTACGCAAGTAACCACCCCCGCCACTGCCACCTCGGAGCCGGTCCACGAGCAGGCCCCCCCGAATCGTGATCGTGACCATCACGCACTCCACCTCGATAATCGAGATTACGAGAGCGTGTTTATCATAGAGAGGCGGAACAGTAAGCCTAACCTCCGCTAGCCACACAGAAAAAAACCAAGTACTATCACTACTACTACTATTACTACTACTACTACTACTACTACTGCTACTACTACTACTACTACCACTACCTATTACCGCTACTATTACCGCTACTACCGCTATTACTACCATCACTACTACGTACCCGAGACCACGGTTGCTCCCGAGAACCACGAAAATAAGCTCCCGCCGACGGTATACGTATATGTGTTTGTGTGTGTATAAACACGTTGTACCGAGCGGTCGATCGATCGAACGAATCTATCAGATCGATTTCACGAATCTCCATCAATCGTCTTCGATCCTCGGTCGATCGAGCGAGCGAACGCCAAACTTGCCGGTGGGACATGCCCGTTACTACTAGTACTACCGCTACTACTACCACTACTGCTACTACCTACTATGCGAGACTACAGCTCTGCAATGTTACCTGCTAGGACCTACTAATATACTACCTACTATCTACTACTACTACTACTTAGGATGATTGTCATGACTGTAGATGAGATCTGCAATACAGGCAAAACAGCTAGGAGTTCACACTAGTAACATCCAGTCAGTACCCTAATATCTTCGTTCGGCGGCTTTAGGGAGTACATAGATAAGAAATCGATGCGGTATTGTTTTTTTTTTCTTTTTCTTTTCGCGACACCTCGTTCTACGGATACTCTATTACCTGTATAAATCTACGTTGCTTCTTTCACGTTTCATTTCAGTAATGAACCGGCGGTAATTTTAACGCAGTTACATTTATCTCTCTTTTATTCCGTTACTGTACTTTATTTATTTCATCGCTCTCTTTTATCGCATACGTATATCTTTTCACTTTATTCCGAATTTATTGTCATACGCGCATAAATTATTACATTACTTATACTTTGACTCAATCTGTTCCTCTGTTTTATTCTTCGCATTATTGCTTCTCCGTGAATCGCATTTTATGATACCTTTGTGCAAATTTCTTTCCTTTGAAAAATTATGAAGCATTTAACTCATTATCTTTGCGTTAATGCTTAATTTACTCTTTCATTATTAAACGGTAATTACCAATTTGTGCCGAGTGCAATATGTGTTTAAGAGTCACATAATATCCATTCACGCGGTCATTCTAGAGACTAACTTTAATCTACGAACTTTAATTTACGAAAGATTGTAATTACTTTATATCTCAGTTTTTAAATGGAAAACGTTTATTTACATTTATTATTATTTCTCCACAAATGCTAACTTTTTCAGATAGGTCTGTTGAATAATTCAAAGAATTTATCATCGTTCCTTTTCACGCCCTCCAAGTTTCTAAACTTTTTATTCCATCTCACATGTATGCTTAACATCTTTTTATATATCGCTAATTGTATCATATTTTATCATATCACATATCAATCTTATCGATCTATTTTATCATATCAATCTTTATCATATTTATACTCACATTCTGCAATTTTCTACTGAAATTTCGTTTTATATATTTCTATTAATATTTAAATTCTCTCATTTATATTTTAGCTTTTATAATAAAATTTAATCTGATTGCAATATTTTTCAGAAAATGTTACAAATTTCTGAGTTTTTTCTACATAAAAATATGTTTATCCATTTACATTTACATATTAATTGTTACTGCCTTCTACATTATTATCATAAAAATGATACTAAAAGGTATACTATTCTGTTAATGCATCTCTTACTCATTTACTACAAACCATTAGTATATCGCTTGATTTTCACTCAACGCTTTCATCTATCACTTTATCATTTTCAATTAATTATTAATTGGCAGATTTTGCGGCGACTCGATGTGTTATAAATATTAATCAATTTCATCTCTCGAACTACAGTGCTTCTTTTGAAATAATTTCTCAAAATGAAAATATTTTTTTAGAATAACCATCGAGTTTCCTTATAACAACTTTTATTATTTTACTTATCGCGCAACATGAAAATTTCTCTTTCTTCAATATTTCTTCTTAGCATTCATTAAAATTCACTTCATAAATAAATAATAGAAAGTTACTGGTATATTTGCATAATTTCGTGTATATAACTATAAATTTATTCAACTATAAAAATTTTTAAAAATAATGTGTATTATATTTAAAATACTTATTATAAAAATTATCCAGTAGCTTACTATAAATTTCTAGACTATTTAATCCCGGTTTGATGCATGTTGTTTAATGATGTTTGCAATGTCTTTTTAACTAAAGACACAAGCTATATTTGACAACTGTTGAAAAATTTCAAGGTACACATTTCATGCCGGAGAGATACCGGGCTTACAATATAATGCTATATCTTCACATTACTAATCTTATTTCATCACATCACAATAATTAATCAATCTTACGTGCTACTTCACAGTATTATCTAGTACAATGCTCTCTCTCCCTCTCTTTCTCTACACAAATCGCATGTGACACAAGCATCACCTTTGCTCTGTCGAACACGAAAAACAGTATTCCGACAATATTGGTCATTGTAAAGGAAAATTTTTGTCAGAGGGATCGAACAAAAACTTCGATCCGTGCTACATCAAGTTTCTCAGCGGCGCGTAAAGCCGCAATGATTATTGCGGCCAATCGAGGCTCTAATTCAAGCTTCTTGTGTTATTTGATTGTTTCCAGTCTGTCGATTCTAGACGACCAATAAACAGACACGCTTACACGCGAACACTCAGCAATAAGCAGGGCGGAGATAGGTAAGCCGCGCTCGTTGCGGCCGCGCGAAAATTTGCATCCGTCATATATACATCTACCATTGTCGTATCTACCTGTTAATCGTTTCACGATACTTCCTTGCATTACCTATTCAGTCCAATTCAAAGTCGATATTTACAAAATTTCTTAAATCCTCCCTCCCATAAATCTAATCTCTCATTATTACTTGATTTTTCTCAACGGCACTTTTTCATTTATTTTGACATATCACATATTTCTCGTCTTTCTATTTTCTTCATAAGATCGAGTGCTTCCTCGAGAAACAAGAGTCGTACGACTCGAGAAAAGCTTAATCGTATTATTCGATCGATTTTTATAGCGCGTTGCGTTACTTTGTGCGAGGATTATTTCAAAATAAATGATACTCCACAAATCATATTAATGCGGCGATATAATCTTTTTATTACGAAGCACTCGACTGGCCATTCATATACTTGTACCATATCTTTCTACATATTTTATTGTGCCTTTATTATAAAATACTTTTTAAACGAAGAAAGAATATTGTGTATCGCTAAAAAATTTTTTTCTACTTCTGGTGTTGAATTCGATTAGTCGACTCGTGCCAATCGATGTGTGCCACGACGGTGAATGCGTGCCGCGTCTTCACCGACACCCATACGACACTATTTATCTATTTGCTCCCTAACACCACCGCCTAGAAGTAACGTTCGGTTATTTAGTGTTATATTTCTTATTATTATCGCCACGATATATTGTTTTTTGTGAATGTAATCGTTGTGTTACAACATATTCTCTCTCCCCCATCTTTCCTTGCTGCCGGACCCAAAGGAGGAGAAAAGGTGACGAGTTTCGGAGCACCAAAATTCACAATTGCTACATATATTCACTGATCAAAGTTTAAAGTACAGAAAATCGTGCAAAAAAAAAAAAGAAATTTATGATAACGAAACAAAATTTTGTTCGAGTAAAAAGAGAATATATATATACGTACATATACAAGAGAAAAGTATATAAGATTCGTTTTGTGCAAAAGTTAAAGAGAGAAAAAAAATCCACTCACTGCCAAAACCATCCACAACCCACGTCACGCCCGACCACTCGTGCACCGGAATGTGCATGCGCATGCCTTCCCTGCCTGCATCCGTTATTTGTTATTATACGTACAAGTATAATTAATTATATCGATAATTATCTTGCCACATATATTTAACTTGAACATTGGCATTTACGTTACATTTGTGTTCTAGTACTTTATTTAACTTTTGTTCGTTAACGTTGCGTGTTTTTTGCCGTTCATGTTGCACGTATTTGCTGTACCGAGCGGCCGATGGACCACGTCGGAGGAAGAATAATCTCAAAATCTCGTTCATCTCGATGAGATATTTAATTAAACAAGAATGCTCTTTTTTTCATGGAAGAGCGATGCTTTATAAATAAATCCACGTGTACGATGAAAACGAGTACTGAAATTTCCCAATGTCGCACTTGAATATAATGGATTACATTGAATTAAATGAGACAAAATTTCCATTTTCAAACATGCTGTTCACAATAATGCAATAAACAACATGCAATAATCACTACTGTGGACGTCTCTTTGTATAACGCATTTCCATTTAATGCACGCTTAACGTTGCGACAACAACTATACTCGTTGAGAGAAATTTCGGTACTTTATAAAACAAACGACGGATCCTACACGGGATCTTAAGCCAAGACTTCCTCCGACGATCTCGATTGGACCGTATCTTGCCGACCACCACCGCCGCGATCGCTCTAACGCTCCTTCTGTCCTACCCGTAGACCTAGAAAAAGCCGAGTACCAGGTTTAAGCCTCCTGAAGGAGATCCTGAGTCCGGATACCCCGGACTCGTGCCGCTGTCGTCCATTGGGCAAGATCTCGCGGGCGGCTGACGGCCGCTTCGTCGTTGCGGACTCGGTTCTCAGCTCGGCCAACAACAGCATCCTGGATGTCTCCAGCAGCGACGATGGCGGTTTCCTACCGAAGCAGCGGCTCAAGTCCTCGTGGCGACGCCCGCTGGTCGGCATCAGCCAACTCAGCCTGAGGTCCGATGGCAGCGGCGTGTCGATAGGTCCTTTGCCGTCAGCCTACCATCACGGCGCGATCAACTCCCTAGCGAGGATACCACCTGTCAACGTTTGCGCGATCGCGTCGCCCAGGTTTCTGGCCAGTTCGCCGAGCGGAGCCCAGGTGCCCTGGACCCCGCTGTATTTCAGCGATCTCAGCTCCGTCAAGCAACCATCCTCCGGCGAACGTTCCTTCCCGACGCCGCCCGGTTACCTACAGCTTCGTAGCGTGCACCAGCGATACAGCCAGGAGTTACCATCGCTCAAGGCGATCCACGCCGAGTCCAGGCGGTTCGTGCCCGTCCAGCCGTTGGCGACGTCGTCGCCGCCGCAACCGGCCGGACGACCAAGAGCGAGGCTGCCGCCGAGGCACGCCAGACATGCCCGATCGGCGCCGGAGCTCGCGGCTTCGCCCGACCTGGAGACCTCGCCCGAGAGCAGGTCGAGCAGCTCCGGTTTTGGCAGTAAAAACACCTCGCAGCAGAATCAGAGCTCGAGAAGCGGCAGCACGGTCGCCGAATGGCGACCGCCGCCCTACAGGCCGCCCCCGCCGCCCCTGGTGGGTCGCTGGCTCGAGCTTCAGGATCAGGCCAAGGTGGGTCATACGCACATACAAAACGCCGTGGACGCCGGCAGCGTCGACGGCCATTACGAGTTCGATCCGGTGTCGTGCACGCCGACGCCCACGTCGGCCTCGACGCCCACGCGGGAGGAGAGACCGCCGATGCATCAGATCCACGCCATTCACGTTCCCCACATCCATCAGGTGCACACGGTACATCATCAAGCGCCGAGGTACAGCAGGCAAAACATAGAGGCCAGAGTACAAGCGATGAAGGCGGAATTTCATCAGTTTCGGCAACGACAGGCGAGAAGAAAGCAGAGCGCGCACTTGGAAAGCGCGTGTTGAGGTAGTGAAAAAGTTGAAGCAGATTTTTCACGATTGATCGGTGGATTAGAGATTCCGCTGATCAAAACTGTGATCAATGAGCTAAAATGATTTGGATAGTAGCATTCGTGGCAAAGTTAATGTTACACGATAACTTGTCGTCGAGTTAATTCAAGTTACGATACGACAGATATAATGGTGACAGAGCAGTGGTCATTACGGAGGAAGAAACAATCTAAGACGTGAATGAGATGTGAGACAAGAGGGAATATGAGACTTGATGGTACTTTAAGAGCTTGATGAGACAGAAAGAGAGAGATAGATTAAAATCGAGATTGAACAGAGAAAGCTAGATTAAAATTGCGATTACAAAGAATTTCATACTGGCTTTTATCTACCACGACGACGATGTGATCATCACCGAAGACCAACCACCGCAGCACAACGAGGATCATCATCACACGTGATTCCGCATGAGAGGAGTTTAAGTCAATTCTAGTAGCTGGACATCCACCTACGAAAGAAGGCTGTTATAAGCATCAGCTTAGGATACATAAGTTTCGCACGAGACCACGAGACAGGAGCGACGTAGAAGAACGTCGTTATAAGACGATAATCCCTTCGGAGTCTCGCCCGTTTACCGATTAAGAGGACCGTCGAATATATTCTTCGGGGGAAATAATCTCGATATCATTTACCCAGCGGCGCTCCGCGACATCGATCGCGCTGGGACGATAATATAGAAACGAAGTGCGAAAAAAAAATAAAAATAAAAAAAAAAACGAAAACGTTCGCGAATCCGATTATTATTGGTCATATCCCGCGTACACCAACCGCGCCTACGTCCGGTTTAGAGGACCGTGATTTTTAACGTTACTATATAATAATGTAGAGGAACATACTGACAAGTTTACACAAGGATTATAAATAAAGGGAGGACATTTCTTTTTTTTTTTACTCAGTGGAACTGTCCTAGAGCTAGGAAGAGTGCGTAAAAGATGAAAACACTCCCGGCTGGCTCAAAGGGATGCTAATATGTAGCGAGATGTCGTCCGAGATCGCGATCGATCCGGCCGAAAGACGAAGAGACGAAAGAATGCGAGAAGGGAAAGGAAAGGAAAGGAAACGGGAAAGGATAGTTACATGCGTCGGCATGATACTCCAAAGAAACTGTACCACTGTACATGCTCCGTATACCTTTTAAACGAAATGTAAGGTTAAATTTAATCGTACACTGTAAGTAATAATTAAAAACGAAAGAGAAAAACAAAAAAGTAAGATAATCGAAGAATTACCACAAGTACACGAACACACGTACACACACAGACAGACAGACACACGAAATAAATAATTATATCGATGAGCAATGGACTCGAAACGTGATATTAGGCCGAAGCTTGCCTCGAGATTGCTTAAGGACTCACTCGTACTGCACTGCCTGTTTAGGGTTTCGCTAGCGACCCAACATATTATCGGCACAATAATTTTTCTTAAGCAACGTAAAACGAGAATAAGAATAACGTTCTATGAATCTAACGCGCGTTCGGCCGGTATAGCGCGAAAAATTGCACGCGCACGCTCGTCACGCGTGCCACGAACGCTGGGTGACACGCTGATCATCGCCCATCGGCAACTCCGGAGTCTACCGGTCGTCCTTTTCGATTAGATTAGCGATGCGAGCGCGTTCGATGAACGACGTCGCGATCGGACTCGAAAAAGAAAACAAAAAATATAATAAAGAAAAATCATATATACGAAAAAAGAAGAATCTTTCTCTCAACGAACTGCCAATAAAGGAGATCCGACCGTGCGTCCGATCCATCTCGTGCGAAGCGTTGACGTTGAATATAAATAAGTAAAATTAAAATATTTAAGCGGAGAAGAGCGACCGATAGAGACACGCGACCATCGTCAGCCGGAAGGGGCGTGCGCGTGCACACACACGCGCCGATCACGCCGGAGTACGTGTGTGTGTATTAGAGAGAAAGAGAGAGAGAGAGAGAGCGAGAGAGAGAGAGAGAGAGAGAGAGAGGGAGGGAGGGAGAAAAGGGAGTTATATAGAACACACGCGACAAACGTACACACTCACTCACCCACACACATGACAGCAGCATATAAATATATACGCGTCAGACACACACCCACACATGCATATACACGTACACATATACATATACACATACACGGAATACGAGAGAGGCGTTCTTCGAGACCCACCTAATTCTCACCAAACGCATCGGATCATCTCGAGTCTCGTGAGATCGGGGGCCGGCGATCGCCGATCGAGGGGGTTTTCGGGGCGAATCTACGGGCTAATCAATGTCGAGCTGCGCGACCTAACGCGAGAACGTGTCCCACGTGTTTGCGGACACGTCCACGATAAGGAGGGACCGGCGGCGCACTCGCGTTTCCCTTTCCCTTTTTTTCTAAACTCTCTACATAAGGGCGACCGTGAAAAGCTCCCCGCGTGGAATCGCGATCGGCCCGGCCCGCGACCCCAGGCGTTTTACTTTCTTTATAGTACAAACACTTATTTATATACGTACGCATATTATACATATTTATTATAAATATTAGCAAGGGCCCTACACTCTCACGATTCAACTATACTTCGACGAACCGTAATGGCGAGGAGAGGAAAAAGGAAGAGGAAGATGACGAGGAAAGAAAGAGTGGCGCGAATGCCACGTCGAGACGCTCTGTACAATTTCGTTAAAATATGCATATATGCATGCGTGCGTGCGTGAGTGCGTGCGTGGGAGAGATGACGAATGTTGCAGAATGAGGCTGAGTGAACGGAGTGCGAGCGACAGTGGGTTAGAACGCGAGCAAATGCGGTTGTTGAGACAAGACAAAGAAGCATAATGTAATACACACACGGTCATGCAGAGATGTAACAAAAGGATAAAAAAAAAAGAATACGATAAAAAGTTACGGAATAACGGAGGTGACGCGAAAGAGTACCAATATTCTAAAGTAATTCTAATGGTTGAATTAATAATTTGATAATTAATTGATATTGTAAATCGCGTAAACGATGTAGCGTGTAGCGTATTAATCAACGAGAGCGACGAACACGGCGAGTATTTATTAATTATTATATCCGCGCGGGAATATTAGCGGGGGAGGTGGTACACTAAAGAATCTCACATCATCGCGCTTTAATCGCGAAAGATCGTCGAAACTACGTTATTAGCGATAAACGTATCGGGTGAGATGCATGTAATGCTAAAAGATGTAAGGGAAGAAATAAATTTTTCTCAAATCGCAAACGTCCGCGCGCATCGCGGACCCTGAGGAAACGCTTTCGGTAAAGTGGTGATAAAATAAAACGCTTTGTAATCGTACACGAAAGATACACCCTCTCCCCCTTCAACGAATGAATGGATGCGACAAAAAGGAAGAATCGTGTATGCGAGAGAAGATCCAACCGGTATATAGATGTATAAGTAACGTGTAGATATATCATAGTTGGATACAACGATCTCGAAAGATCACGCTCTGTATGGACGATCGCGATAAATGTGCGAGTGAATGAGAGGCGTAAGCGAAAATGAGAGTGAGCGAGAAAGGAAGAGAGAAAAAATAAATGACGAGAAGAGTGTAAGAAAACGACAGATCTTAGGGAGAGAAACTTGGACGATCCTCCGCGTTATCTTCGAGCCTATCACGTAGCGCGAAAAAAAAAATGGCTCGAACGACAAGACGAATATGTTCGAGACATGTTCAATGACGGAGAAATGATTCTAGTGAAAGTATACCGTGGTTTTGCGTAAAGAGAGACAAAAAGAGAGGAAGATTAGGGTGAAATGGCTTGTTGTTTCGCTCGACGGCGTGTTTATGGATAATATGGTTGAATCGTGAATCCGTTCGTGTAAAAAGAAAAGAACTTCGTCATCACCCCGTCACGATAGTTTCGTTCGTTCCGAATTTTTCGAATTTCTTTTTTCATGACCCGGGGTAGACTTACGTTTATCGTCATCGCGCCCGTTTGCGTTCGCGATACTCGTCGTCGTATCCTCGCCGCGCTATCACAAATACACGCGTGTAACTCGCGCGAGATTGCGAGCGAAACGTCGTGATTCGTGAATTAATTAATTTAAGAATTTCGTTCTCGTTATGTACCTGAAAGCCAGTCGCGGCATGATCCATTGTTCGAAATCGCGAGTGAAATTCGCGACCCCTCGAAGCAGGACGTTCGCCCAAGATTTTGGCATCGCGAATCGCGCAGCTTCGACACGCAGCCGAAACGTGTGCTTATTTCGCTTATTAATGGGTTCGTATAGAAATTCCGTAGATAGTTATAAATATGCCATCCCGCATATATATGATACAATTCGCGCAGTTATTACGATTATACGAGAAGCGAACACTCGACAGATGGCGATAACTTGCAACGTTGTACTAGATAAGTACGTAAAAATTCATAGTTTGTAGTAGACCTCTCGCGATCACTCATGTTTAAATCCACGATCGCTGTAAAACCTTGAAAATATTCTATCGCATCCGCAATAATAAATATTCAGCGTCTTTGGTGACACATTTAAATTGCAAAAAAGTACAGCGACGATACTGCTTCGAGGTACATACAATGCGCGTCGGATGACACATAAGAGATGATAATTTGACGTGAAATATGCCAGTGTCGTATATTACCACAATACCATATTGGTTGCATAAAATCACGTCCCTCGGTCGACGCACGTTCATGTCAAATTCAACCAATGGCTCTCGGGTACTGCGTTTCGCTTGGATCTGCGATTATCCACACATACGCTTCGATTCTCTTGTTTGAGAAAAAAATCTTATAAGATATACATATAATATATATTTTCTCTCGCGATATAATATTTCCGAATACTTTCTTTCTTCGCGTTTTAAATCTGCGCGCTCTCTCGCAAAATTTCAATCCTGATCGTCGCAGCTCCAAGCACGGCATTTCGAGCGCTTGTACATCATCGTACATTGGCAATATTGCTAATACCGTAATAATATTCGTTGCGCCGAATTGAATTCGAGAGGAAACAGATAGAGAGAGCAGAGAGTTTTTTTTTTCATTTACCTATTATTCTCTCTATTATATATTTTTGTTTCTCGTTGAGTCGTTTCAGAATATACTTCCACACTTGTAATCGTTAGCCTTCTCACGCCCTACATCGAATTGCTTCTATACACACATGTAACGTTCTTCTGTACCGTCTATCCTCACTTCCGCTTATCTCGACTATATCCGCCGTCAAACTTGTATACGGCGCGTTAAATCGTTTCGTTGTCACTTTTGTAAATGCTCGTTGTTCACCTCCCCATACCCAGTTTAATTGAATGATCTATGCTTTCTCGCGAACCCCCCACGAGAACTCCAAGACGTACTAACTTAGGACAAATTGTAGACAATTTATTATTAAATAAAATGAAAAATAAATCGACATTTGAAACGAAATAAGCAACGTTTCCAGCATACTTGCATCGCATTGATTAATATACCCCGTCAAAAATATTTCTTTTGACAACAATAAATTTCGATGTTGCATCCTGTGATATCAAACATTTTATTTTTATATATTTCTTAAAAATATATATTTTCAAAGGAATAATAAGAGCGCAAGACTAACTTATCAATTATAACATAAATTAATATAATAGTTTAGGAAATAATATCACCAAGAAAAATCGTTTGATTTTTATAAAAATAGAAAAAAGATTTATTATATTTATTTAAAAAATATTTATTATATTAACATGTAAAATGTATATTTAACAAAACAACTCATTCATTCACAATTGTCTTTTACAGAAATGTTATTGCATTGCTATTACAGGTACGTATAGAAAAACTGCAATAATGATTATTAAAATTATATTGCGATCCAACATTAATTGAAATAAACTGTATATATTATACTTGATATGACATCATTAGATGAATGTATAACAGATGATATAAATAAGCTATTCTCTATCTTAACTGAAAGATTTGCATGATTTGCTGATATAAGAAATTGCTAATCAAAGAGCAATTGTATGAATTATTGTTGGAATAAGAAGATTGAATCATTAAGTAATTATCGCATTTGTTTTAATAATCAAATAATTAAAAATTGATCGCATCTATATGTTTTCTCACATATTTTGTATACGATAAACATAATGATTATAAAATATCCGTAAGATAATTGTAAAAAAATCTAAAAAGAGTACGAAATACGAAATAGCCTTAAGCAAGAATAGATTTTAACGCCTGATATGTAAAATCACAAAATCACGACGCGACTGTAATTTTCTCGGGAATCTATATGGATGTTAACTGCCACAAGAAGCTACATTTACGCAAGACGTCTACGGCACTGATTACTGAAAATTACCGTCATTTCCATTATTCTCCTCGACATACGTTGCGATATTGTACCAAAAACTAGAGCGTGATGTTTCGTTGCAAAAGATCTTTTATCAAAAAGAACTCTCTTGTGCTTCTTGATGTATCTGTGCAGACATCATTTTCATACGGTCTACAAATCTAAATTTTCATGAAGCATCATAAATCGTTTCGGAAAAAACAGTATAATTCAGAGATAAATTATTCTTCCGCTACTTCCTACAGCTACTCAGTGTGATGTTTCCCTCGCAAGAGAGATCATATATTGTATCTTTGTGATAAAGTACTCGAATAATCTCTGACAACAGTTCAATTACTTCCATCGAAAATATATCCGTAAATCATCTTACATCATATATCTATAGATGGGGTCTCTAAAGAATTATACTATGAGAAAATTATATATATCTATGAGAAAATTATATTGCTCTATTAATAATATATTATTACACCAAAATTTAGATGCACACAATAAAAAAGATAATTGTTTAATTGTCAAGTAAAAATCCACAAATTGTGAATATCTTTATTCTAATATACAATGCAATACTTACGTATAAATATGAATTTATCGATTAAATAAAAAAGAGATAACGATTTAACGCATCTACGATCGAGAGAGATTGTGCGACAGGAGATGCTAGTGAGCCATTTAAATAAATCATCTCCACACACGGCGATCTGTGGACAGGAATATTTTGCGATGGCAGACGATCGATTCGAACCGCGAAATAGGACAGGTGAACCAGGAACGAACTAGCCGCGTTCCCTCCTCTGCTCATCGGCGATGAAATAATACGGTCGGTATCATTATGCACGCATTTATTTCTAGTGTCCCGGGCACATCCAATCCTGGATAGTGATCCATGCGAATGGATCCATTATCTCAACAGCATGACAAGGCTGTGGGCAGTCTGATAATACGGCAAGAGACGGATGTGACGTAATCTGAGGTCACCCACGCGCGCGCGATTGCTCCGATGCAGTTTCGTCGTGCGGCTTTGGTGTATGAATTTCATCGAAAATCGATGATCCCTCAATCGTACGCGGAAAGTATTTCGCCACTTTGACATTTGCCATTTCGTCCAAGTTATATTCTTACGATAGCAAAGAGCATTTTGTAATTTGCTCTATAAATCGCATCGCATTGCAGAATAAATGTCTTTCGACAATAATTTATATAATTATTGCGTGTATAACAGCTCAGTTTAAATTTTATACATTAAAAATAAAGAAGGGAGCATTATTATTTCAAAATTCTTTATATCCTCTTATTATTTTTATATAAAGATTGAAAAATAGATACAACAAGTAAAATATCGCGTTTATTTCCTCGATTGAGGATGCGTCGACAGAAAGGAAAATTGTCAATTACATGAATATAGAATAAACAAGTCGTAACCGAAAAGCAGTCTTCTTCTTAACTAAAAGAGCTCCGTAAATGACAATTACGCGATATAGACGTACAGATAAAAAGGGATTTTCTGACGCGTATCATGAGAATTCAAATATTCCTTTTCTCTCATGTTTTTCATGCTTGAACGCCTTCTGCTTCGGATTTAAATGCGAACTGTTTTTCGCACATTATCATTCATTTACGCAAAATTGATATGCGTGACCGAGAAGTTTATAATATCTATAATAAATAAATAATTGTGGCTTTCACTGCAATGAATGATTTACATGTCGTTTAAAGAGATCAAGGATTTGTATGCAACCGAGTGTAGTGAACTTTTAATCTCCACTTGCATTGCACGTGAGGCTCAATTCTCTCGAATCAGCTTTGAAAAAGGAACTGCAATGAAAGAGCGCGAGTCAGCGACCAAAGATAAATTGTGAATGCTAGTTAATTCTTCCGTTCTCATTGCGAGAACACGATCTTCGACACGCTTCAACGGTGACACCAAAGATCTTACATCCTAAAAGATTCTATACAGAAGAAAAACACATTGCGACTTAGTTATATTTTATTATATTTCATATTCATTATATTACTTCGACAATCGCTTATTATATTTCAGGTAATTATTTGCAATAAATGCTAAAAGAGTTTATGCTAAAAATCTAAAAACACTTATTGGAAATGAAGAATATTCATTTTCTTAATTATTCGACAGATAAAATATGGAATTTTTTTTGTAAAAAATGCAATCTTAAAGGTAAAGTTATAAAGCTAAAGGTAAACAAGATGCTAAGCTTTCCATCAAATCCCGCAACCTACGACAACGTTGATTATTTGCTGCTTCTATATCGAGCGATGCGCTCGTTCGAGGAAATGTATGGGCTCGGCCGTGCGCTTTTTTACGGGATCGAACTAATTGGATGTAATAGCTTACGTTTTTTTTTTGTGCAACGTCATTCATTCGTGTCGTTATGGGTGTGCCAAAGTTCGAATGCGACGCAAACGGGAGCGCGCACACCGTGCCTATAAATGTAGAATCGTGATGAATCTCTCTCGTATATATTCCTCCCGCGCACATCACCACGTCTATCCACCCTCGCAGCCCCCTCCCAGTGCTCATTACTCCTGGCTCTTCGTATCCGCTTGGATTGAGCGAGAGCACGACGCGATTACGCGATTTAGTGTTGCCTCTGGAGCACTCCACATTGGACCAAACTCGTCTCGGAAGCTGTGCATCGTTCCAGTGAACAACACCGGCATGCAGAATACCTGGTGCTCTTCCGACGCGTTCATGCCAGAGTTGATGACCTCGACAGTGTGATACCGGTGTCCTGGAGAAAGTCTCTGGACAAGAATTTTGGAATCAAAACACAGTGATCAATTACAATCTAACATTGAATAGTAAAATCGAGAAAAAAATTGAAAACTGTTAGGTACAGAGATAAACGAAGAAAGGAAGGTGTGTAGAGTTTAAAGGAAAGACTCAAGTTTTGAAATTGATTTTGCAAGATTTGAATTTGAAAGGAGAAGAACGAAAGAAATCTAGGACAACCAAAACACACATCTATGGCGTGAGAGTGACGTGTGCTAATAATTGAGCTCGAAGGTGGTGGCCGATGTGTGCGGGTGATGACAGATGTGTCGGTCGTTGTTGCGGAGTGTAACCTATCGTCGTTTCTGCCAACGCGTCCTTACTACACCATTGACGCGATATAAGTGAAAACGTGAAATATAGGATCGAAACATACAAGAATGAACCGAGTCGCTAAAATCTATAAGCTGCTGGCAGTCTTACTCTGCTACGAAGGTAAGAGCTTTGGAGATAAGGACCCATATTTAATATAATTAATTAAGATAATTATATTTCTCATCATATCGTTTATTTAAAATTGCGACACATGAGATATTTCTCGAAAATTTCAGTTGCTTGCAAAAAGCTTGAGTAGATATCTTGTAACAAGTAGACGTGAAATCAACATTTTAGATTATAATCACTATAAATGGCACAATTCGATGATTGGCGTAATGCGTGAGGCAGACTAAATTCGAGACCTCCAAAAGTATTTAAATGAGCATTTTGTTTATTTGAATAATCACGCACAGTCATCGTTGATCCCTTTATGCGAGGGAATAGATAACAACAATGTGTATCATTTTGTTAACGCGCTCGATGGTCACGCATAATCCGACGGAAAATTACGCAATCTCCGGAAATTAGTCCCAATGCGTAATATCACTTTACACGCGACGTTATCTCGCAGACATTTATCCATAATATTCCGTCGCCGAAATACGCAGATAAATAAAAATTGGTCCGCAGTAATCGTGGTGAGAAATTTTTAATCGCCGGTTTTTCAGCCTGCAGCTACAGCTTAGTCCTAGAAGAGGATAAGGAACCGATTTATCTTAATGCCGGGGTAGGAGGGTATGCGGAATTTAATTGCGATCTTGATTTTCCACACGAAACGCCGATTCCGTACGTGCTTCAATGGAACCGCCATGTAAGTATAATAGTAAACTCGTAATCTTTTTTTACCGATTACATATTCACGAGAAAAATATTTCGATCGTTTTAAATTTCAGTGATTATTTCATATCTCGTAGTGTAATATCAATAAGACAAACTGCCAATATATTATCTAACAAAAAATGATACAATTCGTGAGATAAATGGTAAAACACACAAGATAGTAACGTAAAAAATAACGTTACATGAAAATAACGTTGCGTGATCGAAAAGCCGATACATGACATTATGTGAAAATCTTACTTATTACCTATTACCTTGGATCAAATGTGTTTGATATGTAAGCGTTTATTAAGTAATTATACACAAATTATACACAAATCAATGTGATATTGATTTCCGATACGACACATTTATTGCGATTGATTGAATATTAATTTGGAAAAATTAATTTTATTGATATCTATAAACATATACGCATATCGTTTAAAATTTGAATTGCAAAAGTATTATATGTTGTTTTTCTAAAATGAAAATAAAGAAAAATATATAAGGAACATTTATTTATTTTCAATCTGAAATTGAAGTTGAAGCAAAGCAATTCATTTTAGCAACGTACGCGTTTAATAACAGATCCCACTATGTAACAATGGTAACACGACGACGCGCGATTGACTGATTGACGATTAAAGAGCGTTAAGGCAGGCTGTTATTCGGTTAATTTACATACGGACGTACTCGTCGCCTTCCGGCAGAGGCGCATAGAAAAAGCGTTCAAGGTAGGGTAGATTATTCAATTTCTTCGAAATTGTATCTGATTTCGTTAACATAATCATCTACTTGGTATTCTATACCTCTCGATTTCAAATAGATATATAATCTGCGAGAGAGTAGCATTAAGTATCTTGATACATATATAAAAAGATGAGAAGATATTTTTGTAAGATCATCATATTTATGAGCTAAAAAATGATTAAAGAAAAATTCTTCCTAACGTCGACTTTCGTTAAAACGATAAACAATAATGGCCAAACGACGAATTTATCCAAATGGAAGGTGGCGGATGTCGTATCGAGCGACATACGACGGAAACAGATTGCACGTGGCCATCGCATAGAATCAAGTGGGACTTAACCTGATTGGTCCCTGATGCGTATGCAAAACAGGTGCTTCTTCCCTCTTTGTCTGTCCGTCGTAGGTAATTGGAGTACGGGAGGCAAGGCTGCATTATATTTAGTCACGTTCAGTCTGCGACATGAGGGGTTCAACTAGTGGGTCACTGTTAATGCATTGTCAGACGATTAGAAGCGATTAGCGCTATTCTCGCTCCTCTCGTCAGATTGTAGATTTTTTCAACTATCGATGTAGGAAGTATGACTGATCGACACGTATAGACTGAGAAATGTTGGAAATAGCATAACGAATCTTTAATCATTAAACTGCGTATTTCATTAACGTGAGACCTTGCGTGAATACAACTTGAGTTTAACGCATGTTATATTTTTTCGTTGACTCGCGTGAGTCTTGCATTCCGCGAAAGGATGATCCAATTAATGATCGCAACAACTGTGATCAGATTACGCGGTGTAAGTTCAAGATTCACTTATGATTGCATTTAAAAATCGGTCGTTCAAAGAGATGGATATTTCTCGAATAAAAAAAATTATAAGAAGAAAGTAATATTATTTTTCATAAAATATATGACTCAACGATATAGAGAAAATTAATTTTTGTACATTTTATCACAAATATATATGCCGAGGAAATTTTAATAATATTCTATAATGCTACAGAGTCGCACAGTATTTTCTTGGTACGATGGGCACGTGACGGTTGACAACGCTTACAAAGGTCGCATACACTTGTTGGACGATATCGGACATCGCGGATACGGCCAAGGTAGCATAAACCTCACAAATATTCGTGAGAGCGACCAGGGTTGGTATGAGTGCAGGGTGATCTTTCCCAATAGAACACCGAATTCTAGAAACAATGGCACGTGGTTTCGCCTCGAAATCCATGGTAATTTTCATCATTTACAATTACTTATATTTGCATACGACAAAGAATCATGTAGTGAAATATAACAGAATTTATACATATATGTATATATACACTAACATATATTTATGATTATTAATTATTATATAATTCTCTACGGAAAACACCCCTTAACATATAGAGAGAGAGAGATACCAGATAACATAATAATAATCTATCAAATATTACCAAGTATCTGCCAATGTAAATAAAATCTAACATGTAATGCAATTTGATGCCAATTAACAAAGACTGACTATTAAAATTAGTCCGATGAGCAAGCTAACCAAGCTTATAACTGTGAAATTTGTGCTCTAATTTTTTGACAAGTAGAATATGAGTCTTCAAATTTAATCGTTCATTTAAGTACTTCCGACATTCTTAACTCTCTTAGAGTCCAAAAGACAGAGAGGAGCAGTCTATCTTAAAAGGTCATTTGCACTTCTTTTATTTGTGTCATTGTATTTATTATACGCAACGAAATAGATCAAATAAAAAATTCCTTAAATTATTCTTAATAAAATATTGTAAAAAAATACGTGAAAGAGATTTAAATTAAAAAATTATTTCTAAAAATTTAAGTTAATTCTTGAAGATTTAGATGATAGAATTTAATGATAAAGATTATTTAACCTTGGACGATATAATATAAATATATTATATATATTTATATTATATCGTCTAAGGTTAAACTTATCAATTAGAAAAGATTCGTGTAATAAATGATCAGATAAGAATTTTCACTCTCTATATATTGAATTCTATAATGAATTTTCTACATGATACGATTGGCTGACAATGAGTCATTCATATATTCGTACAACAGCTTATTTATCGTAATGTATTGCGGAAAATGACTACTTCTGTACTAAAATTAATTCAAAGTTATATTCTAAACTATTACATGATTCCACGCATAACGTTGCAAAAATATCGCTCGGAAATAATAATTTACACTAAGTATACAAAACCATATGTGCATTTATATATAGCTTATACGATGATGCTGCACCGTATTAATTTTGATACTAACTTGATTTGTTTAACGCGTTTGTCAAAATGCAAAATTAAAAATGCAAGTGATTAATTGGTTGTCTCGTGCCGGTAATCCTGCTGATATAAAATAATAACGAACGAAATGATATGAAGGAAAAATTATTGTATAACCCGGCTGCTGCTTACTAACCTGAAGCACCTAACCTGAGCAGACTCGTTAAATCGTTCAACCTAGGTGCGTCGCCGTTCCCGACGACTGTTGCAGGCGATACTCTGCTAACGGTACCGCCTGTCAACAAGACTGCCATGGAGGGCGAAATTGTTACCTTTGACTGTGTCCCTAAAGGCAAAGATACGAATGTAACGTGGTTTCATGATGGGACATCAATCTGGGAAATACAGGTACAAAAATGTTTGCCTTTTTCACTCAATTAATTCAAATTTAATTCAATCAATTTTTAAAACATGTTTTAATTCGACGTCTTAAAAATTACCTAACTCGCTATCGCGATAGGATCTCAGAAGAAGAGCGTCTATCGATGCTAACGGAACGTTGACTATAACTTCAGCTGCCATGGGTGACCTTGGAGAATACACCTGCAAGGTAACCGGGGCAGACGGAGATGAACAAGATGCCTCGGCCTTTCTCAACGTACAATGTGAGCGTCGAATAATGAGCGCCAAGTGCGACGTCGTTAATTCATTGCACGTCATTTCTTTATCGATAATTGATATCTTCATTTTCTAGATAAGGCGAAAGTAATTTACGCACCCCGGGAAGTCTATCTTCCATACGGCAAACCAGCCCTCTTAGACTGCCACTTCAGAGCGAACCCGCCTCTCACGAATCTTCGTTGGGAAAAAGATGGATTTCTCTTTGATCCTTACAATGTGCAAGGAGTCTTTTATAGGAGAAACGGATCACTCTATTTTAGTAAAGTAGATGAGACGCATTCGGGAAGTTACAGTTGCACTCCCTACAACGAACTAGGTACCGAAGGGCCCAGTCCTTCGATCACCGTAGTGAGTATCTATCGAGCTATCATAAAGAGCGATATACAGATCATAAAGAAAAAAAAGAAAGAAAAAGTTTAGCACAGAAATATCAGCATTGAGTATTAACTAGTCAGCATCATGTATTCGAACTGCTTTTATTCTACAATAAAATAAAGTCTCAAATAATTTTTAGAACGAAACCAAATAAATTTTATTTTATTTATTTTTTTTATTTATTATATTTTCTTTGATAGCATATTATAATAGCTTTTCGAAATAACAACTGCATATCATTCGATATATATTATATTAAATTAATTACTGTTTATTATTACAGATAGTTCAAAGACCGCCGGTATTCACAATTACACCGCAACATTTATACATGCGAAAGCTGGGCGATGTCCTGGAAATACCTTGCCAAGCCAGAGACGGCGACGACTCGCGTCGACCTACCATCGTGTGGTACAAAGTACGACGCCTTAATTGTTAATTACGCCAATTACGCGTTATGTTGTATAGATTCTATTTTATAATAAAACGAATAATTTTCTGCGACGAAAGGACGGAATGCCTTTATCACCTGACAGAAGTATCATAACCGATGGCAATCTGACGATAGAAAAGATCCAGGAACACGATCGAGGATTGTATCAATGCGCAGCTACTAACGAGGCGGCAACAGTTATCGCGGATGCTGAATTAATGGTGTTGAACGTTCCACCTAGAGCACCGTACAACCTGAGCGCTAACAGTAGCAAGAATGCCGTCACTTTGACTTGGGTACCTGGATACGTGAGGCCTAAGATGGAGTATTCAGTATGGTAAAGTATCTCGCTTGTTCAATAATAATAAAAAAAAATGTTAATTTTTGAATTGTCGCTTGCTATAAACGAGCAAGAAATTTTGTATAATTAAAGTAAATACATAGGCATGTCTCTCTGCGCAGGTACAGACCAACGGATACGTCCGAATGGAGAACCATGAAAATTCTTTCGAGAAAGATTACCGAGGCAACGGTCAATAATCTTCATCCAGGACGAGAATACGAGTTTATGGTTTTGAGTCAAGATAAGCATGGCGACGGAATGTTCAGTAAAGCGCTTCGGATATTCACTCAACCGACTAAGGGCTCTCAAGGTAAAATTGTCACCTTTCGGGCGTATTTAAATACGCAGATATATGAAAATATAAATAAATAATTTAACAAATGATTTTCATTTCTAGGATCTTCTCTCGACGAGAACTCGGCATCGGAATACCGCAGTCCGCAAGGTGAGTAAAAAAAAGAAATTTGAAAATAATTTTTATAGATCCCAGTCGAATATCTCAAAGCCATAAGTGTAGGCTTTATTTTAGAAGAAGTCATGGGAGCGCCGGTCAACGTAAGGGTTCAAGCGACGGTTGAAGGTTACTTGGTCACTTGGGAACCACCTGAATATGGCAAGAATCTAGTTAGGCTTTATACCGTGAGGTGGTTTAGAGGACCGTCCGAGCATTTGTATGGAAGAGCAGAAACAACGGATACTTATTATCTAGGTAAACAATTTATCATAAAATCATTTTTGTTTTTAATTTACAAATTAGTTATCATACATGTTTAAAACAATAACGGTAATACTTCTAATGTATAATTAATATCACCCCAGTGAAAACTTTGGAGGAGGAAAGCTTCTATACCTTCGAAGTGGCAGCGATGTCTCTTATTGACGATGTTGCAACCAGTGAACGAATCGGTTTAGAAGTGCCTGCTTATCGTCGCAATAGAGCGATTTCCATGGGAATTGTCGCCGGTATAGGTTTCTTGGCAGCAGCTCTAGCAGCTATATGGTGGGCGAGAAAACGATTTTGTCAGTCGTCTAATGAGAAATAGCTGAGAGTGAACTTGTGGAAAGCACGTGTGTGTACTCAAGCGAAATAGCTGTTCGTGCGCATAATCGATTACAAATATTCAATAAAAATCGTACATCAGTTGTGCGATTATTAGCGAAAGCAGTCGTTATAGAAAGAACAGCACCAGGTTTCGTTCAAATAGCAGAGAAAATGTATAATTCTATTCAAGGCAAATTTGTGCGTCTTGAAAAAAAGTATAAATTTTTAAAGATTATGAAGGACATAAATCAAAAAGATAGAATCAAATATTATCACGTATATAATATATATATATATATATATATATATATATATATATATATATATATAGTGACGGAATGAAGAGCAGAATTAATATATTACAGACGTATATTCTTGAGTATCACCTGTGTAAGCGATTTTATTTACCTTTAATCTAAGGGTCTTGAGTGTTCTTGTTTCGCTAATTATACCATAATCGTTCAATAATTTTATTAAATAATTGCATGTTCTAAATAATTAGACTTCATCATCGTATATTACAGGTCATCAAATACGAGACTGTGTGTCAAGAAAAATTGTCGCTTATAATATTATATATTTTTTCTTCTTTTTTATTGTATATAAATTATGACCGTTAAAGATACGCATAAATAACTTTTACATTTCTTACTACTACTACTTGTATTGAGTTTTTTCAGCGCAATATTGTCATACGTATTTATACACATTATAATAATTGCAGCTAACTATAATAAAAAAAATTGAAAAAATATATCATTACGTCAGTAATATTACTTGTTTTGTAAACATTAAATATTTAATCAATTATAATTATGTTTTGTAATTTAAATTTTTGAAAATAATTAAATGCATGTATAACATATGCATATAATTAAACACGCTTGTTTACTCTTACTCGTCAATAATATAATTACTAGACAACTATTTTTCCAACAATGATAGAATTTTCAAGTCGCTTGAAGAAATAAATGGCGTTGTATCGAATAATATTGCTCGAATAACATACTTTTAATAATTTAAAAAAAGAAAAATCATTGGATTGTATAACAGATTGTGTAGATGTTTATATGTTAAAAGTATGATAATAAGCTAAAAACTATAAATTATAAGCTTTATAAAGTTTTATGAAAATTTTGATGAAATTTGCATAATAATCTATATCAATTATGCAACAAATTTCCAATTCCATCAATCAATTTTTTCAACATTTAATGACTATGTCCATGAATTAAAGTTATATAAGCAAATATATACGTAGATATCTTGCTTTTTTATAATTAATTGCGCTAATTTATTAAATTCTGTGCTTTGTAGTTATTCAATTATTAGTAATAATTATTGTATATTTTAAAGTATTTGATGGTCCTAATATATATTTATATTACATTATACTTAATAAGATATAATTATATTGCATCAAAAAATTTAATCAAACGCGAACAATCATTTACAATATTTCACAATGTTTTTCGGCGTAAAAAATTTAATTTATTCCCATCCGTAAATATACATCATAATATTCATTAATAATTCATTAATAAATCATTATTAATAATTTTTCTCGATTAGATATATATGTACAGAAATCTTAACTATTTTTTAAATTTTGATACAATTCGTAATTTAACATAATTATTTCTGATGGAAAACAGTGATTTGCGCGATATGAGTTAACTTGAAGTAAAGAAAATCATGAATTAAGCAAAAGATTTACATAGATTTTGTGATGTGCTTAAATTATTTAATAAAAACAATTAACAATTAATACATCTAATTATGGGAGTCCTATTATTCTATTATATATAATTTTATTTTGATCAGTAATTTAAAAACGTAATCAGAGAAAGAAAGAATATGATATATTATAATAAGTGTCAGCATTATGACTATTATATATATTATAAATATAAACAATATATTTTTTTAACTTTTTGTATCAATTAATCATAATTCCCCTATATTTGTTGTAATACATAATGCATTTTATAACAAATCCATATTGATTTTTATTTTATTATTATCGCTGTGTAATTTTAAACGTTTAATATCACTGAAGTTACATAAAAACATTGTTAACAAGAGATAAGCCGATTAATATTATATCGATTCATCTCTAACTAACCTATTAAATAACGAATTTAATATATATATATATATATATATATATATATATATATATATTGTTACGTGACGCTTGGCGCTCCGACACAAGGATCGCAAGATCCGATCAGGAGTAATTTTGGGCCCTCGTTTTCCCCTGATTTAGAGAGAGAGAGCGGATATTGGAGGTGTGAGGGTAAGCTCGCTTCCCTTGCGTAGAGTTGTTTATTTGCAATTATAAGATTAGAATTAAGCACGAACGTGATGGATGACGCTAGCGGGATCTCATCCGGTGACTCGACCCAGCGCAGAAGACTAGGCCAAAAGGATACCCTCTCTACTTTTATAAATTGTAACATTAATTTAAGGATATCTCTGCCGCCCCTGTAAACCAATCGCGGGGATCTCGAAACGGAGCCAGTTCGGCCGGATTAAGCGCTACAGAAAAACTATAAAAGTCATGGCGAGGGGCTACCGGAAAGACACCTCACACCGGGCTTTAACTGGAGGACCAAGAAATATCTGAGAGGAGACAGGGTTGCGATAGGCGCAGATACGGCCCTGAAAGCAGAATTAATTAAGACTCGCAGAATTAATTAAGACTCGCGATGATCCTGAGGGTTGCGGAAGTTCCACAAGTGGCCTAGTTATGCATTAATTTGCATAATTCCGACGGTTCTTCCGCTCGTCACTGTTCGACGGACCGGCGAGGAGTACGACGGCCCAGAAGCATCGATTTATCGTGCGGATGCTGAGAGCGCCGAGGACCTCACGGAGTCATCGGTGAGACGACCGTCGACCCCATCAGGCCGCTTTATCGTTTACGTTATCAGGTAGAAATAGCTCGAACAGGGTTAGTGCCGAATTGCTGCCGTCTTAAAATTCTTTGCTGGAGATTAATTCGTGCTTTCGGTAACTGTGTAGTAGAGTGCGACAGCCGGCCGACACACTTTGTTCGAGCTAAGATAAAATTAAGTGCCCTCTCTCCCGATTAAGCGCCGATTCAAATTTATTGTCTTTTCTCGTTATGATTAAAACGGACCCTTTGCCAATTCCGAAATGGGGCTAGCCGAGCGTCCGTCGCGATCTTTTGGAGAGTTTTGCATCTTTTTGTGTACATTGTCGATACCGAAAATTCTTACTAGAGCGGTGTGGATTACCGCACCTGGCGTACATATATAATTTTTTTGGATAAATGCTTTTCTTTTATAAGAGGATCGCGCCGAAGGTGTGCCCTGGACCAATGTCACCGCCCATGCATTATTTTTAGCCCTTCATAAAAATAACGGTCATAATATATAACCGGAATGGTGTAAATACGAAAATACAGACATGATATTTTCCAATAAATACATTTTATGCTAAGAATTTATGGACAAGATTTATCTTTTTGTAATAATTTTTAAATGTAAATTTGAGCTCGTGTTGCGAATTGTCATCACGTAATATTTATTTTTATCATTATTTATTTTTAATATAAAGTTTTCATTACAATAAATCAATTTTTTTAATGAAAAGTTTTTGCATCATTCGCGATTTGCAGTATTAAATATAAATGTAGAAAGAGAGAGAGAGATAGAAAAATAATCATATAAAAATTGTTACATATTACACTCTATTATCTTTATTTTAATATAATTTAGAAAATATCCGTATCCGCTTGGACTGAGCGAGTGCACGACGCGATTACGCGATTTAGTGTTGCCTATGGAGCACTCTACATTGGACCAAACTCGTCTCGGAAACTGTGCATCGTTCCAGTGAACAACACCGGCATGCAGAATACCTGGTGCTTTTCCGACATGTTCATTCCAGAGATGATGACCTCAACAGTGTGATACCGGTGTCCTGGAGAAAATCTCTGGACAAAAATTTTGGAATCAAAACACAGTGATCAATTACAATCTAACATTCAATAATAAAATCGAGAAAAAAATTGAAAACTGTTGAGTACCGAGATAAACGAAGAAGGTGTGTAGAGTTTAAAGAAAAGACTCAAGTTTTGAAGTTAATTTGAATTTGAAAGGAGAAGAACGAAAGAGATCTAGGATAACCAAAACGCACATCTATGGCGTAAGAGTGACGTATGCTAATAATTGAGTTCGAAGATGATGGCCGATGTGTGCGGGTGATGACAGATGTGTCGGTCGTTGTTGCAAAGTGTGACCTATCGTCGTTTCCGCGTCCTTACTACCGTTGACGCGATATAAGTGAAAACGTGAAATCGAAACATACAAGAATGAACCGAGTCGCTAAAATCTACAAGCTGCTGGCAGTCTTACTCTGTTACGAAGGTAAGAGTTTTGGAGATAAGGACCCATATTTAATATAATTAATTAAAAGAATTATATTTCTCACCATATCGTTTATTTAAAATTGCGACACACCAGATATTTCTCGAAAATTTCAGTTGCTTGCAAAAAGCTTGAGTAGATATCTTGTAACAAGCAGAAATCAACATTTTAGACTATAATCACTATAAATGGCACAATTCGATGATTGGCGTAATGCATGAGGCAGACTAAATTCGAGACCTTCAAAAGTATTGAAATGAACATTTTGTTTATTTGAATAATCACACACAGTCATCGTTGATTCTGTTTATGCGAGGGCATAGATAACAACAATGTGTATCATTTTGTTAACGCGCTCGATGGTCACGCATAATCCGACGGAAAATTACGCAATCTCCGGAAATTAGTCCCAATGCATAATATCACTTTACACGCGACGTTATCACGCAGACACTTATCCATAATATTCCGTCGCCGAAATACGCAGATAAATAAAAATTGGTTCGCAGTAATCGTGGTGAGAAATTTTTAATCGCCGGTTTTTCAGCCTGCATCTACAGCTTAGTCCTAGAAGAGGATAAGAAATCGACTTATCTTAGTGCTAGGATAGGAGGGTATGCGGAATTTAATTGCAATCTTGATTTTCCACACGAAACACCGATTCCGTACGTGCTTCAATGGAACCGCCATGTAAGTATGATAATAAACTCGTAATATTTTTTTACCGATTACATGCATATTCACGAGAAAAATATCTCAATCGTTATAAATTTCAATGATTCTTTCATATCTCATAGCGTAATATCAATAAGACAAACTGTCAATATATTATCTAACAAAAATTATACAATTCGTGAGATAAATGACATGGTAAAACATACA